CCAAACACACACACACAAATCAAACAAACAATTTGTTCGTTCATTTATTCATTCATTTTGTTTCTATTTTCCGAATTCAATTCAATAGCTACTTGAATCCACAATTCAAACAAAAATCTTTGTATTTACAAGAAAATTGGTTAAATTGAGTACCAAACAGTGACGAAAAACAGCATCCGATTTGATAATATTTGTTAGTGGTGATGATAGTTGGATAAATAAAGAGAGAAAAAAAATTGATTTGTGATTATGAAATAGAATTGATTGTTGATTCATTCATATTGATAGATGAAAAAAAGACAAACATTTGAAGAGAGAGAGAGAGAGAGAGAGAGAGAGAGAGAGAGAGATTGAAAGAAATTGGTCAGTCAAGTCTGGTGTAACAATGGAAAATGAAAATAGTTTCGGTTTTGTCGTTGTTGTTGTCATTGTCGGGTTTGTAATTCGTTTTATGGTTTTAGTAAAACCAAAAACATTGACAAAAATGGCTAAATTGATTTCAAATCATTTGAGCTTCAAATGAATGAATTGATCATAGTAGTGGTATTTCTTCTGTTTTCGTTGTTAAAAACAGAAATTTTTCAAGTCAATTTTTTTGTTTTTTGTTCAAAATTATCAATTGATTAATTTATTAATTATTTTTTTGAAAGGTCAAAATTCGTTGCTGTTATTATGTGACAACAACAGCAGCACAATGTTAATGATCTTGGACTAATTGAATTGAAATTTGATTTTTTTCCTGCTCATTCATTCCGTTAATAATTTTTTTTTTGTTTTTTTTAAATTTTTTTTCACTAATTTAAACTTTTTACTCTTGCCCCCATTGTTAATGATTGAAATTTTTTTTTTGCTTTATGAAAAATGGCCATAGACACAAGCAGCGAAAAAAATGAGAAAAAAATTAGACGTCAAAAACATTTGGCCAATTGAATTCAGATTTAAAAGCAGAAAAAAAAATCTGAAATATGAAAATGAAAAAAAAATTGTTTGACCCTAATGAGTTTCTTTGTCGTTCGGTAACTAAATAGTACAACGATAAATTAAGCAAAATGTAAAAAGTTTTCTCTCTCTCTCTCTCTCTCTTTCTTGGTGAAACTAAGAATTCCTTCATTTAATGGAATTTCGATTTTTTTTTCTATGTCAATTCTTGCTTCATCATCAACATCATCACTTGGGAAATTGAAGGAGAACAAAAAAAAGTTTAAATCAAAATCAAAATAGAAATAGAAAAACAAATCGGAAAAAAATTAATTCATCATAATAAAGAGCGTATAAAATTATTATTATTGTGTGAAGAGAGAGAGAAAGAGAGAGAGAGAGCAAAAGAGGGTTGCTTTTGTGTTAATAGCAACTTTTGAATTCAAGCAGCGAAAATAATTTGATGTGAATAAAAAATTAACGACTGCTGCTTCTGCTGCTGCTACTAATATTTTTTTTTTTTTGGCGACAAATTATTTTCCATTTTATCATTTTTCTCTATCTTTCACTGTCTGCGTTTGTTATCATAGTAGTTTAGCAGCAATAACAAATTCACTATTTCGGAAATATTCTCTTTAGCACTTTGTTTTTTTCGTATTTTTGGTTTTTTCTTTGGTTTTCAATTTAGACAAAAAATTGAAAAAAAAAAATTCGTGACTAGAATTATTGATTTTTTCTTCATCCACATTCAATTCAATTCAAATGATAGACAAGTGTGTTAGTCATTCTTACTTAATCACATCGGGTCTTGTATTTTTTTTTCTATCAGGGCAGCTCTTGCAAACGAGATTCAATGGCAATTGTAGGTATTGTGATTACATAGAATAACAATTGTTTTTGTTTTCATTCGATGAATTGCATCTTTGCAAATTTATTATTATTGTTTTTGTTTTTCATCAAAAAACATTCACAAAAAGAACAGATGTGAAAAAGTCAGCCAAAATGAAATCGGTTTACGTGTTCAATACATTATCAAATCATGGAACCAACAAACAAACAAACAAACAAACCGCACGCACGCACACACACACACATTTTCTTTCCCGGTACATCACCTATATCAATGATTGAAGAATTGAAAGAAAATTATTTTTTGAGCAAACAAAAAATAAATTGAAAAATCCATTTCAATTTATTTTTTTTTTTGCCAAAAAAATTATTTGTTTATCAATAGAATGAAATGTTTTTTTTTTGTTTGTCTGTTGAATGTTTCGCTTTTGACAATCATCATCGTCATCATCATCATCAATATGGCCATTTTAAATATTGTGTTTGTGTGTGTGTGTGTGTGTGTCAAAATAAATAAATCGATTTTGATTTTCATTTTTATTATTGTGGTTACATTTGTATTGTCCGGATGTTATATCTGTCGAATTTTAGAATTTGAGGCCATGAGAAAAATGAAGAAAGAAAAAAAAACGATGAAAACTTGATGGTGGTTTTTCATGACTAAAATCGATTGATCATTTTTTTCATTCATTTGTTGGCTGTTTTTTTTCATTGATTTCAAAATATTTTTGAAATTGAAAGAAACAAACATTTTTCTCTACTCTCCTCGTTTGTTCGGATTTTATTGGCAACAACAACATATGTGAAACACAGACATATTTTGACAACGATCAAACGATTACGTTAGAAATAGATAGATGAAGAAAAAAAATCTGTAAACCACAACAACACAGAAATATGGCCATAAAAATATAAATTTTATATGTGCCGATCCTGGAACACCAACAACATCAACAGAATTGAACCAGAAATGCTGTATTGACAACTATTATTAGCTATAATATGTGTTGTAGATCGGTACTTGGATTTTTTTCTGACAAAATTGTTTTGCGTGTCTGTTTTTTCGTTTCTGGGTTGGTTCCGAATTTGTGCCAAACAAAAGAAACAAATAATAATGATCATGATAAATTCGTAGAAATGTGTCATCGTCCAATTCTCTCTCTCTCTCTCTCTCTCTCTCTTTGTATGTGTGATTGAATGATTTGACACATTGTCATTTGAATCTGTAAAAAATGGAGAATTTTTTCCATCCAAATAGTAATGAAAATTGATGTTTTCACAACTGCGTTAATTTAATTTTCATTCCTTTTGAATGTCCATGACCAATTACAACATTTTTTAGCAGTTTTGATATTTTTCCATGCAAATATCTTTTTTTCCACACATACATTTTTGAGTATTTTGTTGTCGTCGTCGTTTTTTTTTTGATATTTTCATTGAGAATTGAGAATCATCGACATAATCGAAGACGAAAAATAGACGTGAGAAATATTTTGTCACGTAATTTTTTTTCTGTGGTTGTTGTTGGATGATGGGCAGTTTAGATCGAAGAAAAACGAAAAAAAGTTACAGTTTCAATAACAGAATCAATCCTCTTTCGTGTGTGTGGCTATACAATTCAGATAATTTGATCATAACGTGATATCTGTATTTGATCCAAATCGTGATCCATTCATTTCCACTTTCACTCACACTCATTTTATTCTCTATGGACCATATTTTCTAATTCTTTAAGATTCTCAAATTCCCAGAATTCATATTATCTAAGCTTTTCGGGTTTCAAGAGGCAGATTTTATTTTATTTTATTTTCTCTAAAAAAATTTTTTTCTATTAATTTCTGTTTTAAAGCTAAATTTTCTATTTTTCGCCCGAATACACGCACAACACTATCATTAAATTAAATGATGATTTTTGTTTATTCTTTTCCTTTCTTTTCTTGTTATTTAATTCGACAAAATACTAAAAACGTTTATTTATTTATAAATTTCAAAAAACAAGAAAAATCTAATGATCTATTCATATAGCAAGAAAAAAAAATTACCAGATTTTTCAAGTGTTATTTCGATTATCATCATTACACAAACATGAAAAATCTTTTAATTTTTGATATGTGTGTGTGTGTGTGTGGTAAATTTGGAATTATATTTGTATTTGTATATCCACAAACCGAATATAATGCAAATATTTTTCTCACAATTGAAAGAGTTTTTGTTTTTGGTTTAGTGATCCAAAAAAAAAAAAAAAATTTGATCCATTGAGAATTATATATTAAAAGATAATTTCAAACTAACAAACTAGACCAACCTTTATTAATGGATCCAAAACTACACACACACGATGATGGTTATTACTATTATTAGTTCATATGATTAAAGAAAGAGAAGAATAATAAAAGTCTTAAAGAATTCTGAAATTACGATTCATTAGACAAAGAATAAAATACTCAAGGATCAAGGAACCTTTAGCGAAAATGATGATATTCCAATCCGATATAAATTGCATTATGGATAGTAAATATAAATACTAATAATTCGTTTTTGTGTGTGTGTGTGTAGCAATGCATTAGTATTATTATGGTTTTTGATATACGGCAGAACAAAAATCGAGTAGCATCTGGATCTTTTCTGTTGTTTTTTTCTCTCTTTATTATTTTTTTCTTGAATCAATGAGAGTCAGCAACAATAATAACAATTTCTCAATAACGTAATCCGTAAGCGGATTACCGGTTTCGGTTTTTTATTATCATTATTTTCATCGTTCATTCGAAAAAAAGAAGAAGCAAACATTAAACATTTCCATTTCGCAGAGAAAACTTGTGTTTTAATCTTAATAACCAAATAAAATGATGATTTTTTTGATTTCTATTAATTCTCGAATATTGAACTAATTGATTTTTTTTCCTTTTTCTATCTTTTGAATATTTGCAGATTGGAGAAAAAATTAGCAAAAAATAATATCTCGAAATGTTTAGATGATGATTGCAATAGTTGAATTTTTCATAGCAAATATTCAGATTTTATTTGAAAAAATCTATAAAATAACATTGTTGGATAATATTGAAAAATGTTCAAAATCAATCCATCATCATCCTCATCATCATCATTACCAAAAATGGATGATGACCAATCATTTTCATCATCATCACCATCATTTAGATCAATCGATCCTAATAATCAATTATCACAAACGAAGACGAAGACGACAACAACAATCGATAATTCAGCAGAAAATATGGCAATTTTTTTTATTATTGACAATCACAATGATCAATTATGTAAATTGTCAACAAACAATTCAACAACAGCAAGCATATCATATTCCATTTGTCAACAATATACAACATCAACAACAACAACAACAACAACAACAACAACAACAACAGCTCCAATCATTCAATATTCATCAACATCATTATCCTATTTCATCATCATCGTCATCATCATCATCGTATATGGCACCATCAGTCGCTAAAATTGGTATGTATTACAATTATCAATTCTCAATTTTCGATTTTCGATTCGATTGACATATGTAATATAAATTAAATTATTATTATTATCAACATTTCAATGTTGATAATAATTACATAAATCAACATTGATTAAATCTTTCTCTTTTGTGTTTCCAATAGCAAATTTTCTCTTTTTTTTTGCTTCTGTCAATATTGATCTTGTTCATTTGTTCATTACTAATGGGATCTATGACTAACACATGAAATGAACATCATTTGATCTTTGATCTGGAAATGTTGAGTTTTTTTTTGGTTTTGTTTTTAGTTACTGTGAATTGTACACTTCTTTCTTATAATTATTGATACATTATATCGATTGGAATGAAATTCTTATAATAATTAATCAATCAGATTACCAACGAGGCAAAAATATCGAAGAATGTGATTCATAAGAAAAAAAAGGAATGAATAAACTTGATGTGAAAATGTTCAATAGTGGATAAACTGACCCCGAACTCAAAATAATCATGATGATGATGATGATGATGATGTCCATTATAATTATCGATCGTATAAGATATTAACATCAACAACAAAGAGAGAACGAGAGACTATAGACATCAAATTTGTGATAAAGAGAAAATAAAATCCAGAATATAAAAAGATGCCGGATATAGTCAGGATATCCGGCTTCGTATTTTTTTCTTAGCTCTAGATTCATTCACTACTTGATTGTCAATTTTCATTCTTTTACTCATTATTGCAATGTCTATCACTTTTTCTTTTTTTTTCTTATAGATGAGAGTCATATCATATCATATCATATCATATCTTCTTCTTCTTTAGTCATTTCATTTCCAATCTTATTATTTCTTTTTTTTGCACATTCACATCATCGTTACTCAATGAATTTTCTTTTCAGAAAATAATACCACAATGTTCTCATTGTTGTTGTTGTTGTTGTTGTAAATGTTATTATTTGCATCATCATTATTATCATTTGCGAATAAAAAAAAAGTCGATTCCTTTCTCATTGTCATCATGCCGTCATTTTCGTCGTCTTTTTTTTTGTTTGTTTGCATTAATTCGATTTGATGATCTCTTGATTTGATGAGATTTTCTACAATTCGTATATTCTTCTTTTATTCTTCTGTCTCTTGAGTGTATCTATTTTGTTTGTTGTTTGTGCCTTTTTGTGCTTGCTTGTTTCAAGATTCTGTTCATGATTTTCTCTTGAAATGGAAATGGAATTTTTTTTTCTCATCATTCCATTATTTTTCGCTAAAAAAATTAAAAATGTTTCACTAAATCTGACCTCTATCTTGTTCGATCAATTTTCTGTTTGTGATTGATAAAACACAAACAGAAAATTTTGGTTTGTGTGTGTGTGTGTGTGTGTGTGTGTGTGTGTGTGTGTGTGTGTGTGTGTGTGTGTGTGTGTGTGATGGATTGAGAATTGTGGAAAAAATCGAAAATCGAAAATTCAGAAATTCAGATAATTTTGTTGCTATTGCTGAAGCGAATGATGGCCATTTTCATCATAATCATCATCATCATGGATCAATTTTTTTCTCTCTCTTTCTCTCTCATCGCCATTGCAATAACAACATTATTTTCATCATCATCATAATATTATTAGCATCGATTGGTCCAGCCTGTGCATGGTGAAAGTAATACCATAGAAAAAAATTACGAAAAAAAAATCAAAATCGATTTCATCCATCATTTATTGATGGATGTAGGGTGAACAACAACAATAACAAAAACAATGGATGAAAAATTTGAACGAAAAAAAACTCTTTGAATAAAAAAAAAGAAAAAAACGCGAATCGTTTATCGGTCGTTTTTTCGTCATTGTTGTTATTGTTTGAATGATGATGATGATGATGATGATTGACTATATTTTCCACCCACATCCCCATCCATATAATCATTTTCAGAGGAATATAATATTTGATTTTTTTTTCGATTTTATTTTGTTGTCGTTGATGTCATTGTTGGATGCAAAACATCCAATCATACACTTAGGCCTATGTTTTACATCAATATCGATGAATGATAATCGAAATGGTCACAATTCTTGACAATTTTTCCAAATGATTCATAGTGTTTGTTGTAATTTTTTTTTTTGCAAATTTTTATTCTTTTTTAAATTTTCAAATGAAAATGAAGAGAAAATTATTGAAACAATAATCTTTATAAGTCGGGTGATGTGCGTGTTTGTATAATGGTCGCCGCTTTTGGATCAATAAATCAATAAAACAAAACAAAAAATACATCTTCGTTTTGATGTTTGGCTTTGTTTTTGTTTTCATTTTATTCTCTGGTTATGGGTCTGTATACTGATTTCCTTTTCCAGCCAGAAAAAATACGATTTTTGCTTTTCATTGATTTTTGGGCAAGAAACACACACACACACACACACACACACTTTAATGTCTATCTGTATGTCTGTTGGTTGTACTTCTGGTTTCCTTTCACTCTAGATTCTAAACTGGAATTTTGTTGTTTTGTTATTGCACATTCATCAAATCATCATTTCAAAATACAGTGAAATAGAAAAAAAACCAGATCGAAATGGATTCTACAATCTAGTTATTTTTCAAATTCTGTCCACCACATTCAAGAATTCCAAAACAAAAAATCCTTTTGTCTCTATTTTTTCCACAGCGTGTATGTAACTTGGGTTGTCATCATTTGTATCCATTTTTTTCTTTTGTTTTTTTTTACAAAGAACGTTTTATTCCCATTCACAATCATCATCATACAATCCGGTCGGGGATACAACGACAATAACAACAACAACAACAACAACAACGACAACAACATAGGAAATGGTTGGTTATTATTTTTTTTTTTTTTTGCTGGTGAATCAAACCAATCATCATCACAACTCTTTTTGACTATTATCACCCTATATATTATTATTATTTTCATTCATTCAATAAATAAATAAATATAAATATCCGATTCTGTCAATGTCGATTCAATGATAATGACACACAGACAGCACACAGAATTGATAATGATTTACAATGAATGCTCATTTGATTCCAGTGATGATGATGATGAGGAAATGAATAATTGCTTTTGTCATTATCATTAAATCATCACTTTTTTTAGCTGTCACCATTTTTGTTGTTGTTGTTATTCTGCTGCTTCACTCGTCATATGGTTAAAATAATAATATCGGGAAACTGAATTGTTAAAGAAAAAAAAAATGACGAGAATTCAGAAATAAAACAGAAAACAAAAAAAAAACATACCACCATCTGAGCCACTTTTTACGCTGTTTTTTTTGTTGTCACATGAAAATGTGTCATTAATATGACATATCATCATCATTGTCATTGTCAACAAACAATGACAATTAGTATGATTGTTGTCGTTGTTTGTTGTTTGTTGTTTGTGTCAAAACATTGAAATCACACGATGAAACAAACGAAAATTAAAATGATATAAAAATCAATTTTTTTAATTTGTTTAAAAAAAAATCCTTGAGTTTTTCCCCATTCATTCAATTTAATTTATTCATTTTCGATTGTTTTTTTTTCGTCGTTGTTGCGTGAAGAAAACAGAAAAACATATTATCCACTAATCGATGTCTAATTTTTTTTTTCTGTTGTTGTTGTTGACGTTGATGATTATTTTCAATTAATTTCATTTCATTTTTGTCTCTTAAAACAAAAAAAATGAAACATTTTTTCTTGGTTCGAAAAGATTTTTTTTCTGCTTCATGAAATGATGAAAAATGCATTTGAAGAAAAAAGAAATCTCTGCTCACACAACAATCACAAAGCAAAGTGAATGAATGGATGAATCTTCAATCCATTTTTCTTCATCTTCATCACTTGATTCCATTATCAATCGTTTTTCTTTCTTTCTTTCCATCGTCGTCGTCGTTGTTGTTGGCGTTATTTTTCTTTTGAGTAATGGATTAAATCGATCGTTTTATTTTTGGTCTTTGCCATTTTAGCAATGATGAGGATGATGATGAGTGTAGACAAATATTATCATGATCATTTTGTTAGTTTTGGTCGTTTTAAATATTTGTGTGTATTTGAAATGATTAAAAATGTTTTTTTTGATACATGTGTGGCCATCTAGCGATAGTTTAAATAACTAATCAGCAACTTTTTTATTGATCTCTTGCATAGGCGCTATCTTTCATCATCCAGAAAATTATGACCATGTATCATCATCAAACATCATAGGAAGCAAAACACCAAGCTCCAGCATACAATCATCATCATCATCATTATCATCATCATCCTCAAGTGCCGCAGCAAATGCAATATTTCAATCGCAATCATCATCAGTGACAGCAGCAATAACGAATCCAAATCGACAAAGTTTATCATCATTATTGGGCCATATTAATGAAAATGATGAATATGAAGCTGAAATTGCATTTCGTTATGCTGTTAAAAGAATTAATAAGGATCGCAATATTTTACCAAATACAACATTGATCTATGATATTGAGGTTTGTGTAAAAATGTAATTAGAACAGTGAATTGATTTTTGTTTCTTCATTTTCTCTCATATCATCATCATTCAGTATATATCACGTGATGATAGTTTCCATGCTGCGAAAAAAGCCTGTAAATTGATTCATGATGGCGCTGTTGCTATATTTGGACCATCCGATGATCGTATCGGTGTACATGTACAATCAGTTTGTGATACATTAGATATACCGCATCTGGAAACACGTAAACATAATCTAAATATTGGCAAAGAATTTTCCATTAATCTGCATCCAGGAGCGTTTTCTGTTGCTCAATCAATTCGTGTATTGATCACATTTTTAAATTGGACAAGAATCGCTGTCATTTACGAGGATGATATTAGTAATTGAAATTAATGCGTGTGATTCGTTTTAATTTTCAAATTTTTTCCCACTAGATTTAATTGGCCTCCAAGAGCTAACAACATTACCATTGGCAAAAAATGTACAATTCTTTTTTCGTAAAACACAACAGGATTCATTCCGGGAAACATTGATGGATCTTCGTGATCGAGAAATCTATACAATGGTTGTCGATATACCACATGAACATTTACCGAGCTTTTTTACTGCCATCTTACAAATACAGATGAATGAGAATCGTTATCATTATCATTTTACAACATTTGTTAGTATTTTTATTTAGTTGATTTAGTTATTCATTAATTTTTTCTGTTTGATTGATTGAATCAAAATTAGGATCTCGAAATATTTGATCTTGAAGATTTCATGTATAATGAAGTGAATATTACTGCTTATCGAATTGTTGATTATTCCAATCCAATGATACGATCAATGTTGAAAGAGATGAGCAAATATCATCCAGACATTGCTCGACAATTATTACATCAAAATCATTTGATTAAGGTAAGAGATTTTTGTTTTGCCAATTTTATTCAATCAATTGCAATCATCTTCAACAGGCTTCCTCTGCAATGATGTTTGATTCGGTTTATGCATTTGCACGTGGTTTAAATCAATTCTTTAAATCTGTCCATAATTTAGCCGAATTACATTCAGCAGCAACATTGACAGCAACAATGAATCAATCGAATCGTCAATCAGCATCATCATCATCATCGATAACAATGCTCAATAGTTTTGCATCATGCTCAAACGAGACTGCCTGGAATAATGGTCTTACATTATATAATTATATTGATTCGGTATTATTGATATTTTTCTTGTCTATTCGGAAATTGATTTTCGATTTTTCCTTTTTTACTTTGGACAAGCTATCATTCCATGGAATGACCGGTCCAGTCATGTTTAAAGAAGGCATTCGTCATAATATGAGAATGGAATTATTAAAATTGCGTAATTTTCGCCTGGAAAAAGTTGGTGAATTTTTCTACAGTAATTCATTATTGAATATAACAAATATGGATGCATTTTTGACATCCAAACAACGTAATGTTACATTACGTGTTACAACGGTTAAGGTTTGTACTTTTTTCAAATTTTTTGTTGTCGTAAAAAAAGTTTCCATTTAATAATTGATGAAATTGGATAATCAATCAATCAAAAATAGATGGAGCCCTATATACGTCGAATGCGTTCAAGTAATAAATCATTTGAATTGAAACCACTGCAAATGGAAACAATAAGATATGAAGGTTATTGTATTGATCTACTGAGTGCAATTGCTAAAAATCTTGGTTTCACATATGAATTATATGAAGTTGAAGATGGTAGATTCGGTGCACTCGACGAACAGACCGGTGAATGGCATGGTCTTGTACGTGAATTAATTGATAAAGTATGTTGTCAAAATATTTTTTGTACAAATGTATGATTAAACATCAATCATAAATCTTTTCTTTTTTTTCTTATTGCAACTTCAGCGAGCTGACCTAGCAATCGGACCGTTGACAATAAGTTATGCGCGTGAAAATGTAATCGATTTCACTAAACCATACATGAATTTAGGTATCGGTATCCTGTTCAAAATGCCTACACATGCACCGACACGTTTATTTTCATTCATGTCACCACTCGCTGTTGATATTTGGCTTTATGTTGTTGCTGCTTACGTTTTGGTTAGTTCGACATTATTCATTGTGGCAAGATTTAGTCCATATGAATGGATTAATCCACATCCATGTATACCGGATTCAGAATCAATCAAAATTAATCAATTTAATCTGGCTGATTCATTTTGGTTCACAGTGGTTACGCTAATGAAACAAGGATGTGATATGAATCCAAAATCAATGTCTACACGAATTATTGGTGCAATTTGGTGGTTTTTTACATTAATCCTAATTAGTTCATATACAGCTAATCTTGCTGCATTCTTAACTGTTGAACGTATTACAACACCAATTGAAAGTGTAGAAGATTTAGCTCATCAATCAAAAATTCGTTATGGTACATTACGTAATAGTAGTACGATGAGCTTTTTTCGTGATTCTAAATTTCCGATCTATCAGAAAATGTGGCAATTTATGGAAAAACATCCAGAGAATTTCGCCGCAAGTTATGAAGAAGGCCGTAAACGTGTATTGATGGGTGATTATGCATTCTTAATGGAATCAACAATGATCGATTATATGGTACAACGTGATTGCAATCTTGTACAAATTGGTGGCCTACTCGATTCAAAAGGGTATGGTATCGCAACACAAATGGGTACGTATTAATATTTCGGCCTTTACGTATTATTTGTCACATAATTGATAATGTTTTCGTGTGTGTGTGCCTGTATGAATAGGATCCGAATGGAAAGATAAAATTTCGTTATCAATACTTGGCCTACAGGAAAATGGTGAATTACAAATGATCTATGATAAATGGTGGAAAAGTCCTGGTCTTACTTGTACGGATGAATTGAAGAATAAAGATGGTAAAGCTAATCCATTAGGTTTAGGCAATATTGGTGGTGTATTCGTTGTGCTATTACTTGGATTGGTAGCAGCAATGATATCTGCATTTCTTGAATTTATGACACAAAGATCTCGACAACGTACGCCATTCACATCGATTATTTTGGATCAACATTATCATCAACATCAACATCAACAGCAGCAACAGCAACAACAACGAAAACAAAGTCGAAATGATCCAAACCAGGGTGATGATGCCAATATTTTGAATAATAGTGATTCATCACAAACACATATTTATTGATTGTAATTGTAATTACAGACAAAAAAAATGAGATGAAAATAAAATAAAGTGACAAATTTTTTTTTCAATCCCTCAAGTTTTGAATCAATCTCATGGCGCCATCACCTGGTAAAATTTGAAAGGAATCATTATTTTTTCCAGATGATTTTTGTTAATCGAAAAATCATCATTTGACAATAATTTTTTGGGCAAATCAAGTTGATGATTGTCTTGTATCCATGAAATTTTTGTTTGATTTAAAAAAAACGTGCAGCTGTTATATATCAACGTTGAAAAGAAAAATGAACAATGAACTATTCGATCATTGTTGTCATTGGATCCTGGATGTCAACCACCTCTCCAGAAAAAAAATTTGGATAAATTCGATGAATTTTTTCGTTCATCACTTTGATTCACAATTTGACTTTTCTAGTGTTCACATGATTGTTTGATTGATTGATCAAAAAAAATGAATTTTTCGCTCTTTCTATCATTATGGTGGATTTTTCCAATATTTACAAGTGCCATCACCAATTCCTCCGATTATTCAAGTTTGTATTTCTTTTTTTTCAATTTCACCATAAAAATTTAAAATATTTTACACACACACACACACACAAATAGTGATTTCAGCAATTCGTAATAAAATATTTAATGGTTATGATCCAATGGCTCATCCAGTAATCAATCATACACATCCAATAAGTGTACGAATGAAAATGCGTTTATTACATTTTGGTCTAGATTCTCGCCAGAGTTTACTCAATTTTCATAGCTATTTTCGTATCGAATGGTAAGATTTTTTTCCAAATGAAATGTTATTATTAATAAAATGGTCACACAGGTCAGATCCATATCTTAAATGGAATAAAAGTGAATTTCGTGGTATAAAACGAATCAATGTTCATATGGATGATGTATTCACACCGGATTTAATTCTATACAATTCAATACAACCAACGAATATGATGAAAAAATTTAATCACACTGAATTGATTATTACATATGATGGCACAATATTTTGGTCACCATTACTACGGATGCAATCATTTTGTAAGCTAGATCTTTATAATTGGCCATATGACCAACAAAGTTGTTCACTTATATTTATATCATGGTCATATCCAGCCGATGCATTGGCTCTTTACATTTCTAGTAAGTGAAAAAACTTAATTGAGCGTTATTGATTGGTTTTTTGTTCTCTCTCTCTCTTTCCCTCTGTGTCTCTCCTTTTAAAAAGCTAAATCAATAAATCTACGGGATTTATGGCCAAATAATGAATGGAAAATAATTAATTCAACATGTGATACAATAATTGTTAGTGATATTCCTGGCCGTCCAAATATGTTTTTTCCCGGTGTACAATATAAGATATTTATGCAGCGTCGTCAAACACCGTATTCCTATCTAATCAATATTCCAATCATATGCACGGTTATTTTGAATGTTATATCGTTGAGTTTGGTAAATCCAAAACGAAAAATTCGATTTCACTTGAATCAGCTAAGTTTTTTCATCATTCTATTCATATCATTTTATCCATCATACATATTGGGTCCAGCAATGTTTGGTACAACTCAACTTGTAAAATTTCTTGGTTCAATGTTAATCACAAACGCTTCATTAATGTTTTGGTCTACAATAGCCAGCAATGTAATCGAATCAAAATCAAATCGAATTGCCGAAAAAATATGGAATTATATTACTGAACCAGCATTACATTGGCGATTAATTCAATCATTCAATCATTATGATATTTATGATAATGATGCTAATGATGATGATAATGATCGACAATCAATTATCAATCAACAACAACAACAACAACAACGAAAACAAAATTTTCTATTTGTATTACTCGTTGATCGTATATTATTGATCATATTCCTGATTATATTCTTTATATTTCATAGATTTTGAACGCCCACATACACATTGAACAAAAAATTAGACTATGAAATCACGTACGAATAAAAAGAATTGTGTACGCCATTCAATAATTGCATAAAAATTATTCTTTTCAAGATGCTATTGTGAAAAAGGCTACTGTTTCTCACACCAATGGAAAATATCGTATACGGCCAATTCACAATGGCAAAACGGGTAGACGCAGATCAATATTTCAAAATAGCGCCTGGTGGTATACATATATGAATTACGGCTATATTAAACCGAAATAACCACTATATATGTACTGGTATAATTTTAATAAAATACCGGATCGGACCGTACGGATAATTTATTTTCAATCATCATCATCATCATCATCACACACACACACACACACACAAAATCGTATATTCAGAATGTTCTCTGTTCGATCCATGATGGAACGCAAGCGTTGAAAATGATGAAAATTTTATTTTTTTTATTTTTTCGGTTCACAATTCAAACGAACGTCATTGAATCATTTTTTTCGTTTGGAGTCGACTCGTTGTGATTTTCTATTTCTTTGGTTTGTTTTTATTTATTTTGAAGATATTCACTGATGATCACCCCTATGGGTTTTCTCCTTTTTTCGAATCAAATTATCCTTCATCTATTTTTCTATACAAAAGTTTTCTTTTCTCTTTTTTTCTCCTTGGAAATTTCACTGGATACACTTGAATCGTAATCAAATTACCACTACCATCTCACCACCAACTCGTACTATATAACGATTACAATGGTTGGGTACCCGCTCCATGATTTCCCTGGAACGATGTAGAAGAAAAAGAAGAGAAGAAATCACCAAAAAGGAGAATGCGCTTATTTGAGCAAACTATTTCTTCTTTTTCATATTCACTTTTTGCTTTTTGGTTTTTTTCCAGTTCCAAACAAAACCAAAAACGAGTCAAGTGCAAGTGTTATATATTCTTTTTTTTTGCGTTTGTTTTGTTCGATTACCGTTCCTCCGTCCGCGAAAACGTTTTCATAGCTCACCATCATCATCAATTGATGTTTTTTCGGATTTTTTTCCGATTTTCACACTATTTAAATATATTTACTCTACATATCGATCAGCATTTTGTTTTGCATGTTTTCTCCTGTTTTGATTTTTGATTCGATTCAATTTTTACAACTAAAAATAAAAACACCCAATAAATAAATGTAGTTGTTTTTTTTTGCTCTTCAAAAACTGTGTGTGCATGCCTATCGAATTGCAAGCAACAAACAAATTCATCTCCTGGTTTACTCATTCAAACAAAACTAATAATTTAAACTTTAAATTTAATTCAAAAATAAAAAAAATCAGCCACTGAAACCATTGAACATTATTCATTAATCGTTTCATCATCATTTTGTTTGTGCGTGTCTATGTATGCGAGTGTTGGATTAATCGATCAATTAACAATCAATGATCATCATCATTGATTTGATTTGAAAATTTTTTTTTTCTTGTTCTCTCTGTGTGTGCGTATGATTTTATTTCAACAACAATCTCTGCGTGTGTTTTATGTTTTCGCGTATTTTTTGCTGCCAATTTTTGTGTATGGATGTAATTCGATCAATCGATCAATAATCGTCATCATCATCCTCATCTTCTGAATATTATTCAAATTTGTTTTTTCATTTGGTAAATACCAATCAATTTTTTCGGGCGTTTTCATTCAAATGAAATAATCTCTTCATTTTCACTGTTGTGATTAGCTTATATTATTAACAAATCAATTAATTTAAAAATCATGGATCCCCAACTGCAACAACCAACAGGAACGGCAGGTATGATGAACGTGCCACCATACAATACACGTGTAATTAAAGAACCACGTGGTATGATTCGCATTATTCAATTGGTGAGTTTTTGAGTTTTTTTGTGTGATTAAAAAATCTAAAAAAAAATTTGCTCAATTCTTTTCAGGTATTTGCTATATTAGCATTTAGCATAACAACATCATTCGATACCGAAACATCATTCACAATATCTTGTTATCAAAGTAAAGCGGCAACAAATCAAGTAAGATATCAACGAAAATCAACGTATCAAGTAGAATATCCATTTGATATGAGTCAAACGAAATTGACATATTTAGAATCCTGTAATGAAAATGGTGATGAAATGAAAGATAAAATGTTTGATATTGACTTTTCATCATCGGCACAATTTTTCGTTGCAACCGGTATTCTTTCATTTGCATACACAATATGTTGTCTATATGGTTATATTAAATTATGGCATCTTTATGAAAATAATCCATTCTTTCCTGTTGTCGATTTGGTTATAACGGCAATATTCACCATATTCTGGTTAGCTGGTGCATCAGCATGGGCTGCTAATGTATCGGATCTTAAACATTATACTGGGCCACGTTATTTAATTGAACAATTACCACATTGTAATCAAACTATACAGGATATTGAATATGATTGTTTCTCTGAATCTCCGGGTAAATGGTCGTCATTATATATTTCATTGGTATGTTTTCATTTTCATTTTCATTTTTTATTGATTTATTGCTAATCTATCCAATTGTTAATAATGTTTAGATATTTGGCTTTGCCAATCTATTCATATGGGGAGCATCTATTTGGTTTGTATTTAAAGAGACACATTTTCATCAACGTACCATGCAACCAATGATGATGGGTAGTGGTGGTGCTGGTGGTGTTCATGGTGGTATGCCACCAATGATGAGTGCTGGCGGTGGTGGTGGTAGTATGATGACACAACCGATTGGAACAAATCAACAACAACAAGCCTATCCAAACCTTGGTGATCAAACAACAATTGGACAAATACCAACAGGGAATCAATTTAGTACAAGTGGATATTGATGATAACAATAACAACAGCAAAATAAACGCCAAGCATTTGTGAATCATCGTGACAGAAAAAAAATGAACAAATCAACGTCTTTTAAAAATTCAAATTCATCTGGATCAACATTGTTATATGATCATCATCATAGTAAAATTTTTCATATTTTTCAGCGTGTGTTTGTGTGCGTGTGCATGTTTTTTTGTCAGATGTTCATAGAAAATCTTGTGTGTGTGTGTGTGTGTGTGTTCGTGTATTTTCGAAAAAGAATTGTCAAGAAATTTTATCCTCATCAACGTGAATTCTGCAAGCAATACGTTTACTCAAGAAACAAGCAAAGAATTATTACATTACTATAACCATACACACATTATCGTTTTTTTCTGGATATTTCATGTGTGTGTGTTCATATCTCACATCATCAATTATACTGGAACGAAAAATTGAAACCAATAATGGCGCCCACTGGTTGTCAATGTTGGAAGTTACAATTATCCCAAACAACCCAAACAAACACAAGAAATTGTTGATTGTTGAATTTAATTTATTAAGAAAAATATTAATACTAATACTAATACTAATCATTAAGTTTTAACAATAAAATAATGAACTACACACAGGTAAATATCACCAAAAACAAAATCACCGTCACGCCTCTCTTGTTCTTTCTTTTTTTCCTTCAAATAATAATATCTTGCCTATTTCCATACTTTGTTCACATGAGATTAACACATTCCAGACACTTGAAAATAAGAATTTATTCTAACAAACAAAAAACAATCTTTTCCATTGCATTTACCTTTACATTGATTCTTTTATCCACAAATTGCATACATATATTACACACAAACCCATTTACATTACTTATGATGATGAAAACAAAATACAAATTGTAGATGTTTTTACAGTATAAAATTCACACACAACCTTTATTTATTTTTATTCATAATCCATAATTTATTGTTGTCATGTGTGTGAGTATGTGTTGCATATGTAAATCATCATATGAAACAAAATTATCATATTCAATTTGATTCTGTTGTTGTTTTTTTTGTTTCAAATGAAAATTATTCCTCTTGTACCTTTTTTTCTTTTCACTATAAACCAATTAGATATATGATATATAATCAAGAAAAACGACTTGACCACATTAATGTCGAAACGGACTACAACCACACACATACATACACAAGTTCAAGCGGGTAAAATTAGATGGATTAGCGTGTTTGCTTTTTTTCCTAAAATGATCATGAAAACAACAGCAGCAATTTTGATTGATTGATTCAATCAATTAGTAAAATTTCATTTTTGTATCCTTTCGTGTAATTTGTCTAATTTTTACACATTCTGTACATTATGTAATGTGTTGCCACAAACAAACAAAATTCAAACAACAACAACAACAACAACAAAATAAAAAAAAATCTTCCCTACATAATCATAATCATTGTAGACATTTATCGTTAATTATTCGTTATCTATTTATTTATTTATTTATTTATATATCACCATTATATAGAAACTAAATCATAAAATTTGAATGAATGAATAATAAAAAATTTCAATCAATTTTATTTGTATGTTGTAAATATCGATTGTATCGCGCGATATATTCGTTCACATCATCTTCATTCAAACATAATTTCAATTTTTTTTTCTGTCTGTTATTTTTTTCTCTTTCGATACTAACCACATCATCATCATAGCATCATAGCATATATATATAACAGCAACCCAGCATTCCTCATTTGAATTCAGCATTTAACAAAAAATTGAAATCTAAATTGTATTTAGTCAGTGTTGAAATTATTTCTGAAATTAAAAAAATTTTCAATAAATTTTTTTTGTCTTTTTGTGCTTCCATCCGATTGTTTTCTTTTCGCTGCATAATACCATACAAAAAGTACGGTAGTGTGTTTCCTATTTCAGTTTTCAGTTTTTATATATATTTAGTAATTAAAAAAACAAATTGTTTTTGCTGTGAATTTATTCAACAATTCATTCATTCATTCATTCGTCATTCAACAGGCAAACGAAAAAAAAAACACTGACAATGTGGCCATCACGATTTTTAACACGTGAATTTCATCTTATCGATTCATCGGATCAAATTCAACGTGAATATTCATTGGCAGAATTGCGTGAAAAAAGTCCTGGTTATTCAATCAATTGTTTTATTTGTTCGCGATCGATTGTAATGGACAAAATTACCCATCATTTGATGGATCATTTGGATCAAAAATATCAAATTGAAAAGAAACGATATCAATGTTGTCATTGTTTGCAAATTTTTCTCAATCGTTATCAGCTCGAATTACATCAACAATCGGTAAGTGAAATGGTCATATCATTTCATTCATTCATTCATTCATTTAATTATTCGAACAGATTCGAATGAAAATGTTGTCGGATAAAGATCTGTATCCAAACAACATGGATAAATGTCTACGGGAATTTGATTCGAATCTAACATTGCGACGAAATTCAAAATTGAATCAGGAACAATTACAATTGCCGTATCGTTGTACGAAATGTCAATTTCGTTCCACCACTCATCGACAATTGATTGAGCATTTTGATTTGGTAATATTTCAATTGGATGTTTTTTCGCCTTTTTCATTCTTTCGTTCATTGCAGATTCATCAACTTATTGTTTGTCAATTCTGTTTGCACCAGTTTGATCTTTATCGATGGGCTAACATCAAATTTCCGAATCCTGAACAAATTGAAAATGAAATGGAAAATGTTTTGAAACATTTTAAAAAACATTTAAATGTTGATCAAGATTTGGTTAGCTGCGCCAAATGTAAGCAAACATTTTTGCATCAAAATCAACTTGATTATCATTTGCAAGCGGATCATAATCCGTATGAATTCAAAGTAAAAGGTATGTGTTTGGGTGAATTTTTGTAATAATTGATGATTTTCATTTTGAATGAAATAGACTTGGACAATATTCGATTCTTTCGCCAAGATCAAATGACCGAAGCCGATATTGATGATGCATTGGATGTTATTCGTGAAAATTATCTCGAAAATTCTTGCCTGTTTTATGGTGAAAATCATGGAACAATCTGTTTGGAAACTGTTCAAAATTGTTCAATCATTTAACAGAACAGTAAAATATCAAGCAAAAAACAACGAAATATTTTTATTGACAAAATTGTTCTTTTTTTCGCGACAAAAAAAAAAGTTTTCAATCTTTTTTTACTGGTTATTTTCTCAAAATTAATTTTCAAAAAAAATTGATTATTTGGTTTGAATAAATTTTATGAAATTTGAGATGTTTAACAACGAATGAAATTGTATTGTGTTCTTGCTATATGATGCAGTGGTAGCAGCATATATTAGTAATGGAAACATCATTTGGATGCGCAAATCAAGAAATATTGGATAGCGCGTTTTTTTACCGCTCAAACGATATTTGAATTTTTTTTTTTTTTTGTCGAAATCATCGACATATGACGTATGGTAAGTGGTCTGTTCATCTAAAAAAAAAAAATTTAAACTGTGACTGAGTTTTCTACACGTGAACAAAAAAAAATCTATTTAAAAACAAAAGCAAAAAATTGATTTTTTCTCATTTCTCATTTTTAAATTATTTCTTCATCTTTTCAATTGTCGTTTGTGTTTGTGTTTGTGTTTGTGTTTGTGTTTGATTTTATTTTCGTTGATTTTTATTGACTGTTTTCACTCATTGTTTGATTGAATCATGCCTGAAATAATTAATCTTCAAGTTGGCCAATGTGGTAATCAGATTGGCGTCAAGGTATTCAAATTGATTGTGTTTTGTTAATTAATTGAATCATGTTTTCTTAATTTGATAGTTTTGGGAAGTGATTACCGATGAACATGCTATTAAATCCGATGGTAGCTGTGATAGTGATGGTTATCGTTCACAATTGGATCGTAAAAATGTTTATTTTAATGAAGCATCGAATGGAAAATATGTTCCACGTTCGATTATGATTGATTTAGAACCCGGCACAATGGATGCCGTACGTGCCAGTAGTGTTGGTCAATTATTTCGACCAGATAATTATATATTTGGCGACACCGGTGCTGGTAATAATTGGGCCAAAGGACATTATACTGAAGGTGCTGAATTTGTTGATGACGTAATGGAAAAGATTCGAAAAGAAGCAGAAATTTGTGATTGCTTACAAGGATTTCAATTTTCACATTCATTGGGTGGTGGCACTGGTTCCGGTATGGGTACGCTGTTAATGTCGCGTATCGGTGAAGAATTTCCCGATAGAATGCTTGCATCATTTAGTGTATTACCATCGAAAAAAGTATCGGACACAATCGTTGAGCCATATAATGCTATATTATCGATTCATGAATTGATTGAAAATACAAATGAAACATTCTGCATTGATAACGAGGCGCTTTATGATATTTGTAATCGTTCATTGCGTATGAAAACACCGACATATAATGATCTTAATCATCTTATATCAACGACAATGTCCGGAGTGACGACCTGTTTACGTTTTCCTGGACAATTGAATGCCGATTTACGGAAATTGGCAGTAAATATGGTACCATTTCCACGATTACATTTTTTTATGTCAAGTATTGCACCACTTACATCAACTGGTTCACAATCATTTCAAGCACTTAATGTGTCTGAATTAACGCGACAATTATTTGATGCCAAAAATTTAATGGCTGCTTGTGATCCACGTCATGGACGTTATCTTACCGTTGCTGCACTATTTCGTGGCCGTATGTCAATGAAAGAAGTTGATGAACAAATTGTGAACATACAGAATACGAATAGTTCACATTTCATTGAATGGATACCAAATAATATTAAAACAGCTGTTTGTGATAAACCACCACGGGGTTTAAAAATGGCTGCAACATTTTTATGCAATTCTACCTCCATTCAGGAATTGTTTCGCCGTATTTTTGAACAATATCAATGTAAGTGAATGATTAACAACTATTTCGCTTTTAATCTGACGTTTTTTTTTCATTTCATTCCATTTTTGTAGCAATGTTTCGACGAAAAGCATTTCTTCATTGGTATACTGGTGAAGGGATGGACTTGATGCAATTTGATGAAGCCCATTCCAATGTTCATGATTTGATCAGTGAATATCAGCAATATCAAGAATCAAAAGCTGATGATGATATCGATGAGGATTATGATAATGATGATAATTTAGAGATTATTCAACCCAACTCTAATTGAATCAATCAATCAACAAAATAATTGGAAAATATTCATTTGAATGAGTCAATGTTCTCATGTTCATGCTGTTTATGGCTTATCATCGAAATTCATTGAAAACATTGGACATAGCATAAATCAACAAATCAGAACAGAATCGTTATATTTACTTTGTTCATCTTATTTCTTAATTCATAATTGTCTCTTTGTCATTTTTGTTCTTTAAAATCAATAAAATCAACTATTTAAACTAACTATTCAATGAACTAGATATTCATAGTAGGAGTAGTATTTATTCATTTTTGATTTTAATAATTTTTTGCCCTGGTTTTAGTTTGATTCTATGAAAGTGCTGCCCACTGTTAATAGTGAAAAGAAATACTATTCAGCTATTTTGGACCATTCGATTGAATTGTAATAAAGTGTGACACTAGTAGATGTCCGCAGCATTGTCATAAATGTTATTAGACATCATCAATAATTGTGGATGTTGTTGTTGTTGTTGATGATGATGATTTGGGCCATTAATACTACCACTGGATGTGATTCCAACACCACCACCGCTACCACTACCAATAGTTGCAGCTGGAGTTTGGCTTAAACTTTTCATACTTCGACGTTTCAATGATTTTGTCGATTTTTGACATGATAAAACAAATTTAAATTCTTCACAAAGATCTTTTGGAAATGTTGTCTATAGAGAGAAAGAGAGAGAGAGAAAAAACAAAAGACAATAGTTTAAGGATAGAATCGGATCGAATCGAATCAATATTACCGAATCATTTGTCGAAATCCTGGTTTTAATAACAAATTCACATATCCCAAAGATTAATGCAGCCAATGATCCAACGACGAGTACAACGAAAACACCACCAAGATTTTTCAAGCCCAATTCGTTTAACGGCGTTGATGGTGCCGCAACACATTGACCACCACCTTTTTGTTTCCACCAACGATCTTTTAGTTGTTGTAATACACCGGTCTCTTGTAGTTTCAATATCACTTCAGATAATGATGCACGAATTTTAGCACCTTTTCGTGTGGCTACTCCATATCCTTTTGAATCGAGTAAACCACCAACCTGTGTTAGATTACAATAACGTTCAGTAATATATTCAATCGTTGCCGATTCCATAAAGAATGCATATTTTCCATTTTGTTTTTCAACCCTTTCCCGGCCCATTGCATTGCTTGGCATCAATACTTCAGGATGTTGTTCCATAAATTCAGCCATTTTTCTATATAATGGAATTTTCGAATTCTAATAACAAAAACAACGAAATGTTTGTTGTATAAATTAATCTAAGAAACCAATCATTACATTAACATACGGCAAAAAATTTATGTGTAGCACCATTTTTTAGACAACCATATTTGATTTTTGTTTGTTGTGCCAATTGTTCAACATTTTCAAATGGAAATGGCACTTTTTCCACGGTTAAAAATGCAGCTAAATTGGCTGTGTATGATGAAACGATGATTAAAGTGAAAAAATACCAAATGGCCGAAATGATTCGTGTACTCATTGCTCTTGAAGATAAAAAAAAGATTGAAATTCTTAAATATACAGAATTTTGAATGAACTTACTTGGGCGCAACATCTGAACCTTGTTGCATCAATGAACCAATAATACACCAGAAACTATTACGCATATTACATTGATTTTCGAGAACAGGCTCATGATGTTTACATGGATGTGGATCACACCATTCGTACGGAGTGAAACGTCCAACATAGAAAAATATCAATGATATACTGACAATTGCAGCTAATAAACAAATCCAAACCACCATAGAAAATGGTGATAAAAATGACCAAAGGGATGTTTCTTTCGTCGTCGGTTTTTTATAAATGATCGATATACCAGTAGACATGAATGGATAGGTAAAATCAACAGCTAGTTCACGATTTGAATTAATCGTCAGATCAGCAACGGCAATATCGGCTTCACTACGTATTACTTCACCAATCATACCATTCCATTCATTTGTTGTGGTATTGATTAATGCACCATATGCACCATCTTTTACAAGATTGATTTCAAAACGAACGTTCAGGAATTTTCCAATTTCTTTCATCATATCGACCACAAATCCTTCATAACGATCATTACCATGTAGTTCTTTTGAACTTTTTGCATTCATAACGAATGGATCATTCAAAACAGTTGTAACACGAATCAATGGCATCTTTGCCTGACTAGGTAGATGATAATACCAACGTTCAGTTTTATGTACAACGCCATTTTTCCAGAATCCAATTTGTTCGAAATCATTTTCAGTCATTGTGACAATATCAAATGTAAGATTCGCGCGGAATCCGGATTCATCGAAACCAACCCAACCGGTAATACCTTCGGTAGCAACTTGTCGTATATAATTGATTAATGTTGTACCATATTGCCATGCATCATGATTGGATTGACAATCAATCGATATTGTATCAAATTCATTCAATTCTAATAATGCCGTGGTTAAGATTTCCATTCCATCGAATATCATCGCCGATATACTCTATAAATTGAATATAGATTTTAGCAAACACAATCGATGAAAAAACTATTGGACAAACCTTCACATGTCTAGCATTGGGATCGATCAGATCTTTACCACCAACGAATCCAAGATTATTTTTCGCTGTTGTCGTCGTCGTTGTGGTCATTGTGACATATTTATTCCAATTTTCCATATTTGGATGTTGTTCTTGTACAATACGTAATGATGTAATATTTGTGCGCGAATGGCGAAAATCTTCTAAATCTAATGTATGTAGGTCCAGTGATGTGATTAGATATTTATGTTTTTCACTTAAAATACCAACTTGTTGTGCTTGTTTCATTACTTCAATAATATGTTCGGTTTTAACATCTAATACAATGTGTAAAAATTCTGTTTGTTTCACTTGCCACAATATTTCACGATACGGTTGATCTGGTTGCAATTGAAATATTCGTACTTCCCAATTTTTATCATGTGCTTGTTTCAAATATTGACTAAAATGTATAATACTTTCAGAATCTTCATAAACAATAACGAACATGTGCCAATCAAGCGTTTCGATCAAGTCACCAAATACTTTGGACAATATACTATGATGTGGATACATGTTGATCGAAAGATCAGTGCGGGAACCAAAATCCACCAACATCCTGGCTTCAATATGTGGTATTTCGTAATTTTCACAAATTGATTGTAATTGTTGAGCACCATAAGCATTAAATGGGCCAAATATAGCTACTGGTGATCTTTGTAGCAGTTGACAAACATCACGATAAACAAGAAATGCATTCTCAACATCAACAATTTTGATTATTGGTTCAAAACTGCTATTGTTATGTCCTAAGTTTGTCGAAAAACGTTCAATAGCCATATGGAATGCTTGTTGTTCTTCCAATTCATTTGATGAAAATATTGCACCAACCGGTATGACATGAGGTAATGAATATACATTTTCAATGAAAATTATTGACAAAATAATCCAAATAATCATAGGATATCGATGATTATGCTGACGATAATTAGTCATTTTTTCACAGTGGAAAAAAACATTTGAAAACATTAATAAATCCAGTAGGATGCTAAATGTTGTTCATTAACCAACAAAAAAAAAACAACAAAAAAACAGAAAAAATACACAATGAAGAATTTTTTCCGAATCAAACAAAAAAAAACCTACTTACTATTAATGTTTTCGTTGTCGTAAACTATGGTGATGTTTGATATTCACACACCCACATACATAAAGAATTTAATTAACGAAAAAAAATAGAAAACCCATGTGTCTATTATATTTATTTTTTATGCATTTTCACTCTTTTTTTTCCTCTTTTTTTCGTTGGCATAAAGCCTGAGATATATTGCTATTTTTAACAACAACAAACGTGGTGATTAGCATCAGTTTTAAAAATGAAAAAATTCTTCAATGCAACAAAAGAGAGAGCAAAATGTTTTTTTTTCTTTCTTTCTCGATGATGATGGCGATGATAACATGAGAATGCAGCGAAGACCACGAATATATTGCATTCACCGATTTAATCATCATCATCATCATAGAATCGTAGCATTCAAACGAGTTGATGCTTATGATAATAAAAAAAAAACAAGACACACACACAGACACAGACACTGTGTCACTGTATTATTATCATAGACCATTGATTTTTTGCACAGAAAAATGTCGCCATAATAATAATGTGTGGAATAATATGAAATTATCAATGAATTGAATTTATTCATCATTTATATATATAAATTATAATAATAATAATAATAATATTCAAAGCAGGAATATATTTAGAAAAATGCAAAAAGAATAATTATATATGATACAAATAATCATAATCATCATCATCATCATTTGTTATGATTGATTGATGATAAAATGTGTGTGTGTGTGTCTGTGTGTTTTGTTTGGTGTAATTTGGAGGAATGAGGGAGTTGTTCATAAAAATCATCATTTACAAGAGATGCGAAATGATGATGATTTGTGATACAATAAAATCTATAAATGTTTATGTGTGTGTGGGTGTTTGGATCACGAATATTATCGATTAAAATATTGTGTAATGCATGCATCGGGATTATTATTATATATTCAAAAATGCATAGATTCAATAGTTTTATGCACAAAAATTGTACAACAAAGCGATATAGAGGAAATACAAATTACAAATTAATTAATCCACATATAGAATTATAAAATGAAAAAAAAGATAAAAGAGATCCATCAAGACAATTAGAAGAAGAAGACAAAGAAATGTCGAGGAAATTGAAATCGATCGTGTGCTTTGTGTGTGAGTGTGTGTGTGTGTGTGGTGGAACCTTATTGATTTTTTTGATATTTAAAATGATTATATTTTTTTGTGGAAAAAAATTATTAGAAAAATAAGAAAAATCACAAAGAAAATAATTGAGAGAGAGAATGAGATGTTTTAGAAAAACAATGCATTTTTGTGTCATGCGTGTGCTTAGGTAAATTGATTTTTCTTTATATTGTGATAATATTGGTGAGCTGTTTTTTTTCAAAAAAGAAAAAAAAAAAAGTGTGTGTATAATTCATCTGTGTTTTGATCGATGATGATTGAATTGAATTGGTTTATGGCTGTGTGTGAGTGAAAACAAACATTTAAAAAAGGAGGATTGAGAGAAAGAAACAAATATCACAATTATTATGATGATGATGATGATGATGAAAACAAGAAGCGAAAAAAATCATTGAAACCATGAGAATCATTGTTTTTTTTTGTTTGTTTGTTTTAGTTGTTATAATGGATCGGTAATTGATGCGTTACCAGTAGCTCCACTACTATCCATTGTATCATAAACACGTTGTAATTTGGCCGGTAAATTATTACGACAGGAAAATTCATCTTCACGCAGTATTTGTAATAGCTAGAGAGAAGAGAGAATATTGAAAAATTTAGAAAATTTCAAAAAAACAAATAAACGAAAATTATACCTGATCTTTGTATTTGAATGCATATTGATATAGCTGTAATAATGAAACATTGGCATTAAATTCATGAGCATGTTGCTAAATATCGAAGAAAGAAACGGAAAATTAGTCGAGTGATTGAAAAAATTGACATTGAACTCACCCTTGATTCTTCACATAACATTGCATTCATATCCTGGTCACTGATTGCTGGCATTGTTTCAATTTCTTTATAATAACGTTCAACCCATTCTTTATAGATTGGTATATCTTTTGCATATAATAATTTTGATGACGGTGAATCTTTGCCCAGACGATGATCCGATGTGGAACATGCATCCATGAATGTTTGTGCCACAACAGACAAACATGAATCAATGGTTGGTGATTTATTTATATCAAATACAAAATTTGGATTCTTAATCAAATTCACCCAAAATCGTAATGGTAATGAATTTGATTTCCATGTATGTACAACTTCACTATCATTAATACCATGATGTTTAGCTTGATCATCAAGGAAATCAAACATATATTTGATTGCCAATGGCAATGATGATCCACGATGTGCTGTCGAGAATATTGTTTCGAATAAATCATCAACATATTTTTGTAATGTTCCTTTCGTAGCCAATAGACGTGTTAAATAAATTTCCGATACCATTTTATTACCACGTTCACCTTCTTTACCATGGTCAGCATCATGATGTTTAACTAGATGCCATTGACGTTGATGATAACCATTATTTTCATGATGATCATGATGATGATGATGATGATTTGTTGGCGGTGATGTTGGACGACTCAATGATGTCGGCGGTGATGATGATCCTCCTAAGAGGCCACCAGTGGAGGTATTTGAATTTTTCAAAAAATTCAATGGTTCATAACGGTGTTTATCGGTAGCAAAACCACTGGAAGAACTTGATGATCCACCACCAAGTGTACCAATTTTTTCACTCATAATAGCACCAGACAATGGTGCACCTATACCACCACCACCAGGGCCATACATATAATCGATTGAATTATAAAGTTGTTTAGAATTAGGCACTAATAATAAGCTAGCACAATCTGGCACTTTATAATGTGCCAATGTATTCAGCCGGCGCCATTCACCAGAAACACGACTAGTTGTATCATCATTTAATAGTATGATTTTACCACTATTGCCAGTACGCCATTCTAAATCTAATTCGTCATCACGAAATGGTCGCATTGAAAATGGTACACCACGATAAATAGTATCCATTGATTTTTCTTTCACCTGACTAATTGTATCGCAATCTAATACTTTAACAGGTACTGTTAGATATTCTTGTTGTTGTACATTCGCCGTTTGTGGCGCTAATGGATGATGATAATGATGATTATATAACGGTGAATCTGGTCCACCATAGATATTATTATTATTACCCGTTAGAATAAGCTGTGCAAGTGGACCCATATGTGGTGGTGGTGGTGCTGATTGTGGTGGTTGCGCACCAATTGTTGTTGTTAATTGACCATATGGTTGATCATATGATGTTGTTGTTGTAAAATAATTCGGAGGGGCATATGCCTGATGTATTGATACATAAACAGTCATTGACTTATAATCAATTTGTTGGCGAATTAATTTTTCTTCTGATAATGAATATCTTGCTTCCGATGTGATTTCATCCACAGGACCTTTATCAACTTGATGTTTGATAGCAAAATAAAGCAGATATAATGGTTCACCAGCGCATTCTTTTAAAAATTTATATAATAAAAATGTGAACCACGATGAAAGCATTTTTTCCGCCACTGATTCAGTACGTCTGAGCAATAGTTTTGGATGTGATTTACCATCAATACACTTTTCAATCAAATCAGCTAATAATGTTTTCAATATCGAGGTACAATATTCCATACGTCCTTGCAATGTGACCATAATTAATGAGGCAACATTAACACGGTCACGCATCGAAAAATAACGATTCGATTCAAGTGTACGAATGAATAATAAGAGGAATGTTTTGTTTAATATTAATTGTCCAAACATTGTTAATGCTTGTTCAATGTGGCCACGTTCATTTGGATCTAACGCCAATTCTTTTAAGACAGCATGATTATTATTTTCATTTGGAAACAATACTTTCAATGTATAAAGGCGATAATCCAAGAATGGTATACCACCGATATTAATTTCAGCTGTTATGTCAGTAATTTCTGTTTGTAATTCAGCAAACGCTTCTTTAGCTTCCGATGCAACACGAAGCTCAAGAACATCCATCTGTTCTTGCATTGTTTTCAATACACGTGATGATTCTGTAGATTTACGACGATACAATATCAATATAACTACGACGACAACAAATAAGAAACAAATCGCCACTACAATAGCAATGAAAACATGTTTATATAATGCTCCAGAACTTGACCCGGATGAAAAAAAGAAAAATGATCCCGATGACGATGAATCATAGCTCATAAATCCAAGGGTTTTATTGAAACGTTTTCCAACACCAACAATTACCGCAGGTAATTGATCATAGGTTTGATGATAATTTTCATCTTCTGCCATTGGACGTTGTGCAGGTAGACGGCATGTGAGTTGCACTTGTGAAAATGATGTTACATTACAACGTTCCGATCCTATCCATACATTGACGTCGCTTGATTGTATAATACTATCTAGATGATTTCCCTAATGGAATGAGAAAACATGAAATAAATAAATAAATAAATGAAACAAATTCAATGAATATAATATAATTACATTAATTGTCAAATATTCTCCACGATAATATTTAATACGATCAGATTCGGAAAATTCATGAAAATCCGGCAAACGATACATTCGAAATTTTGGAAATGGTGGATGATCACGATTACCACCACCAATTCGTGGTATTGTCAATGATCGAACTGAATGAACATTATCCATAATAAAACCATAATCAAGTTCAATATATTCTTGACGCGTAAAATGTAAACGTTCAATAGGAACAGCCGGTGTTTCACAACGCATATCGGTACCTTCCACATTCAATACAGAACAATTTGATACGAACCATTCACCATCAACATCAACGTAGATTTTTGGCTCTTGAATTATATTAAAATTTTGTCCACGAACACGTAAATGAAAACCGCCGCTTGGTATACCTTTTGGTTGTTGTTGTTCACCACCACGTTGTATCATCGTCGATGGATCCAATGATGTGGAAACATGTGTTAATTGTTTATGTGGACCGATAATACGATTTGTCGATGTTGACATTGATTCACTTGTGACAGATTCAATTTTTGGATCTTCAGCATAAAGATAATTATAATATTCAAATACACGAATCCCATTATCAAAATGAACACTAAGTAATTCTTCACCGGGCATCAAACGTGCCGATGTAATACATTCAGCATGATTCATTTCTCGTTTAGTAACGTTACAGGGCAGATCACCAAGAAATGCTGAAGCACTACTGCCAGCATTCATATTTAGACCTTCAATCGATAATAATGTACCACCAGATACTGGTCCTTTCGATGGATTTATCGTCAATATTTTCGGATTAACAAACATGTAATGATCACGTGATTTAGCAGTGTATTCTTTCAATACTTGAACAACAACTGGGCCAGATATAGATTTCATTGATGGATCAGCTGACATATTTCGTCCTTGTATACGACATTTAATACGTGATGTTTTTAAATAATCATTGCGATATGGATAACATGGTATTAAGCTAATTTGTTGGCCATTCAATTCATGTGATATACCGATACCATTTTCAATATCTTTAAATATACGGCCCAGATTAATGCCTTCGATTGTTAGATTTGTACCACCTTCATATGGACCAGTTTTTGGATAAAAATCTAATATTCTTGGATTCGGACAGATTTGTTGTCGATTCAACCACATTGTATTATGATGTTGACATTGTTCCTGTACTTGACAGCTTTCACTTTGTTGACACCAGCCACATTTATATTTTTCATCCAATTCAAGACAAAATCCACAATTATTTGCTAAGCCAGAACATCGATATACTAATACTGTTTGGTTAGGCGAAAACAAAACATCAGATGACTGAGTATTAAAAAATTGAAAATAATTACCATGAATATTATCCGGATTATCCAGTGGTTTATTACCATCCCAAATAACGGCAAATTCTGCCGTTATATTCGTTAGATTTGTGAAATAATTAAATTGTAATGATTCACAATAGATTGTGTCGGATAATAGTTGTGCATTCACTTGTTTCACACGTCCTTCAATATTGAATTGACAAACAAAACGAATAGTGATTGCTTGTGGAATATTCACTACTTTCACCGATATACGTTTCGACATTCCATTCGGTACAAGAACTAATGAAAAAAGCAAAAAAAAAATTAATATTGAATTTAAAATAACACTTTCATTTCGCTTACCTTCAGTAGTACCACTAACAGTGGAATTAATACGTGGACAAAAACTTGGACCAGAACGTATTGAACGTCCCATTGATTTAATACCAGTGACAAGTATCTCATTACGACAATGTTCACCAGTATCATGTGTACAACGATGGCCACCAACACACCAATCGCATGGAAATAAGCTCGAAACACATTCTGTACACGATGTAAATGATGAACAATCATAGAAGGTAAAATTCGTGGCCACAAAATCTGGTCCATCACGCATTCGTACTGATAATTTTGCTGTAAATGAATCTAAAATGTGGAGAAAAAATGTCGAAAAAAAACAAATTAACGAAGTGGATAAAAAAAATATCATCATAACACACATTGATTGATTTACAAGAAAAATTTCCCTTTTCAAACACTGAATTTTCGAAAACATTTCAAAACAAAAAAAAATGACCGAAAATTCTCTTGAATTTATTTGTTTGTTTGATTTTATGTTTTTTTCGCTCATTTTTTTTGTTTTCAAGACTTTTTTTTGCCAAAAATTCATTTCGGATGAGAATTCTGTTTGTTGCAAATTCCAGTTTTACGACAGAAAAAAAAATCGAAAACAGTTGACATAAATGGATTCTCAGGAATTCTTTTTTTTTCGTTTTGACCTTTTTTCTATTGGGCCATCATAATAGAGAAAACACTTTTTCGTTTCTCTCTCTCTCTCTTTTTTTGGTAATTTATGTAATAAATTATTAAACATAACAATGACAACTATGATGATGATGATGATCCAATTGGAACACACACACACACACACGGGAAACATTTTCACCTAAAAATTTTTTTCTTTCAATTTTCAACAAAATAAAGAAAAATGATCATCATCATGATTATCACCACTTCGTGTCCAATGAGATCAAGTCAGACAGAACAAAAACATAAAAAAACCAAACCTTTACACAAATACAATGACAATTGGCAGAGAAACAAAACAGAAAAAAAAGTTCAATTCACAATTGACAAACAAACAAAAAGTTTATTTTCACTGGAATAAATGGCGATCATCATCATCATCATATGATCCAATGATGATGATGATCACTTTTTTTCTGAAAATCGAATAAACGAAAAAAAACTTTAAATTATTATATGCTGAATGGATGGGTGGCAACACAAACTCGTTTCTCTGTTTCATCTACAACTATCATCATCATCATCATTAGAAAGGTTGGTGTGATCGATTTTCATTTCTACATTCATTGATCATCATCATCATCATCATGGATGATGTGGTCCATAGAGTCCAACTAACAACCAACCAGATAACTAAATGAACCGATGACAAGAAAAAAAAACATTCCATTTTATCATGATGATAACTATTGCTTTGTCATTACCAATTTTGCTGGCATAGCATCATCCAGTTCTTGAATTTTTTTCCATTTGAAAGAATTAACTCCTTTAATTCCACTTTGTTATTGCATCAACTATTTCATATGTGCGAAAATGTGACAACATATTTGACTTTATACCGCAAGTTTTTCTTATTTTTCCTGGTCTAAATATTGGATGATGAGAAAAAAATATGAAAATATTCTGTGTTTCCATTTAATCTATCCATTTCGACTGTAGTAGTGTAACCACCATAATTGAATTTATTATTATGACCGCATTTTTTTTCGTATTCATTCATGGTTATTGTATTCAAAACGAAAATTTTGATTGACAGATTGACGTACACAAGACTGAGACAACAACAACAACAACAACAGCCTAAAAAGAAGTAAAAATTCTAGGCTCAACATGGTGAAGAGTATGAATATTAGAGAGAGAGAGAGAGAGAGAGAAAGAAGAGTGAAAATAAATCAAGTAGACACATACGCTCACACACACACAAGAGAAACGATATTCCGGAAATTCATTCATTCATTTGAAAATTAAAATTTTTTCGGGTAGCAAAATGAATTGAAATTCCAAAAAATTCCATAGATTAGATTGGTGAATTAAAAAAAAAAAAAATCAGAAAAGAATCATTGATGATGAATATCATAATAATAACCGATTCAATTCATTCAAAAGAAGAAAATTTGTTGAAAAATGAAAAAAAAATTTAATTAAATTGTTATTATTAGTATGATGATGATGGAAAAATCGTTAAAACCCGTTTATTTAACATGAAAAAATGACGGTTACGGTATTTCAAAAAAAAAAATCATCATCATCGCTAGGAAGGAATCATTTTTTTTTCTTCAGGAAAGATTGAATATTTCTATTATCCATATACAGAATTATTGTGTGATGGAATCAGGTTTTTTTTTGCTATTCTTGCACACACCGACAAACATGATACAAAATCATGATTTTTTAAAAAAAAAGATTGAAAATTAATTTTTTTCGTCGATCAAAACGAATTTTTTCTTTGTATTTTTCATGATTTACACACTGCGCTACTACTACTACTACTATAACAATTACGAAATGTTAATGTTTTCGTGAAAATTTTTTTCTCTTTTTTTTATTTCTACAAATGACTAACCCATACAACACACACACACACATACTGGAATTTATTGAAATTATTCTAAATCATCATCATTAAATAAATTCTTTGAACAACAACCACCACCACAAAAAAAAAAAAAAATAAACCAAACGAATTGAATGAAAAGCAAACGTGACGTGAGCAATTGAAAATGATGATGATGATGATGATGAGATTCATTCATTTTCGGGTCGTCACATTTTGGATCATGATCATGTTACGATGATCGGTCGTTCGTCGTTTGTAGTTGTGGTTGATTTTTTTTCAAGAGAGAGGGGAATACGGGGTGGGAAATGGTTTTTTCAGTTCAACTAAACAAAAAAAATGAGGAAATTAGATTATAGCGAAAAAACCAAATGGCTAGAATATAATGGAATTAAATAATTTTTGGTTTTTTCTTGGTTTCGAAAAATGAAACAAATGAGAAACCAACACCACATGTCAGAAGATGAGTGAATAACAAAATTATTTTTAATTTTGGTTTTCGTGTGTGTGTGTGTGTGTGTGTGTGTGTTTAAAACCGAATCCATATGTGTATATGAAAGGATACACGGTATTTTGTGCCAGATTCTTTTTTTTGTACGAAAAAAAAGTTGTTCAATTTCTTGAATTGAGCTTTTTTCATCATTCAGCTTTCATTCAAGGACCTATGATGATGATGATGAAAAAGATTCCTAAATAAAAATCGTATCGATCAAACAAGAAAAAAAGGCATGGATACTATTACTACAAAAACCAAAAAAGAAATCATTCAGGCTCATCACACATATGATGATGATGATGATGACGGAAATAAACTCTGTATATGTGAAACGACGAACGAGAACTAAATTGATAGTTAAAATAAAACGGAGAAAATTTCTTTCGTTCATTCATTCATTCATTCTTTTTTATTCTCTTTTATTCACCGCTTCTTTTTCTGCTGCAAACATTCATCGTTATTATTATTATTGTTACATCATCAATCATCGGTTGGTCATATCCAGCAAACTTTCAGCAGCAGCAGCAGCAGCAGCAATAGCATAAGAAGCGGTATCCAAACTACAATCACCACCAACAAGATGACTATGGCGTCCAGCTAAACATAAAAGCAACAAAAAGAAACGATCCACATAAATAAAATTATGAAACAACAAAATGGGAATGAAGAGCAAAAATTTTTTTCTTTTTTTTTTTGTCCGTTGGTTGGCCTTATAAACATGTGATACATGTATCGTAAATAGAAGTGAACAAGAATTTGATGACCATCATCATCGTCATAATCAATAAGAATTGAATAAAATGAATTGAATTGGAAATTCAAATTGCAAATTCGTATGATTGGAAATCATTCACTTGACTTTTGCCTTCGGTTTTTTTTTCGTACTAGTGATGATGGTCAATCAAACATTTATATAAGGATGCAGATAAGTATCATGACAACTGCAACAACCAACTGAAGAAAAAACCCGGACAAACAAGAATAACCAAAGTGGCGAAAAAAGTATGGTTCGGTTGCTTTTTATTTGTTTGCCTCTCTGTGCGTGTGTGTGTGTGTGTTTCTATGTATGTACGATTTTTGAACAATTTGCTAAATTAAAAAAAAAATAAAAAAATTTCATTTCATTTAATGAATGAAACCAAACAAGGAAAAATGAGACTAGATAGATGGACCAAAAGAGAACACAATATATTTACTATATATTCTCAATCTTGCGATTGTCCATCGTGGTCATCATCATCATCATCATGTCTTGGATCATAGATCTTGCATCATCATCATCATCATTTCATGAACAACAACAAAACAAAACTATAAAGTAATAAATACGGTCCGGTGCATTCGGTCGGGTTCATTTCATTTCAGTCATTGAAATTGTTATATATTTACTTCCATTCTTTGAAAATTTCATGCTGGAATTGGACAACAATTTTTTTTTTTTTTGAACGACGACGAATCGAAATGAAAAATTTGATAATGATGATGATTTTTCGGTGAAAAAAAAATGAAGCAGCAAATATATGATGAGTGTACGCCAAACACCAATTGGGGCCATATGTGTGCGAGCGAAAAAATATGAGGCTCAAAAACAATCCTTGTATGCAATGTTTATGGGAGGGGGAAAAAGAATTTGTAGACAAAGACAACAACGTTAAGAAAAATGAGAACATCTATCTAATGAAATCCAGATGTTCCAAAAGATGTTGTGTCTGTGTGTGTGTGTGTTAATCACTAGAAATATGAAAAAAAATTTGTTTCTTTTCTAAAGTGAAAAAAAAATAAATTGTCAATTTTCGGGTCACACACAAGATAGGTATGTGCATGTGTGTGTGTGCGTGAGTATGTCCGTGACAAATTGTTTAACATCCACATTCGTTCAACCATCACTAACTCATTATCAAAATCAAAAGTTGGACAAGAGAAAAAAAATTTCTTTTCTCATTATTTTTCAAAAGAAAAATGACTAACGACGATAATGATGATGAAACACTTGAAACGCATATGAATCAGAGATGAGAATGATGATGATCATGACAACAACAAAGTTCATTGCTTTGATTTTCATTGTTAATTCGTATATATCCACTTCAATTCTGGTCTTTCTATCTCAGTTTTTTTTTGGCTGGTTGATGCATTGAATTTGTATCCAAATGCGATAAGCAGATGAAAACATTGCCAAAGAAATGAAAATGAAACAAAAATAAATAAATTAGCTGCAGACAAAAACAGACTTTTTTCCTGATCAAGAAAAAAAAACGAAAAAACGAAACCCGTGAATATCGAAAACTTTGAAACTAAAAACTAACTTAATAATGGCTAACCAAGCCAACTACAGCCAGGAAAAATTTGTAGTTATTTTGTTTTCTGGAACAAAACAAAAAAAATTTCAAAAACAAAATTAGACCCGAAAAAGCTGTTGAAAATTAATTAATAATTTATTTACAATAAAAGAAGAACAGAACGCAAAATGCAAAACCACGAATCTAATAATGACACACACACACAGAGAGAGAGAGACAGAAAGATAGCAAATGGTTAGCTAAAAAAATAATGAGACAGGAGCATTAAGCAAAACAAAAAATAGTTACAGAAAATTACTTCAAGTCGACACACGCAATGGAAAAATGCATTGCTTTGGATTGTTCACACACACACAAACAAACAAACCATTGAAGATGATGGCCAAGTTTACTTTCTGGCCGAAAAGAATTCTATATGATGATGGTAAATCATAATAACAATAATGGAATGAAACTGAAAACAAGTCATCTCCAAAAAAATGATGATGAAATTTTTGTTAAATTTCTTAATTTCTAAATGTTTCATTCATTCATTCTTGTCGGTTTTTGTTTTCATTGATTAAATTGAATCGATTTTTTTTTACAAAAAATTGATGCTGCCACCACCATTGCGGCGAAAGACAGACAGATTGATTGAAAATCGATTGTGTTTCATACATGGCACAATGTTTGGTGGCAATATTATTAGCCGAACCCAAAGTTGTTGTTGGTTGGTTGGTTTGAGAAAACCAAAAATTGCAAACTCTCATTGATCATTGGCAAAAAAAATGGAATCTTTGTGAAAACAAAAAAGTCAGCAGAAAGAGAACATTTAGATCGATAATGATGATGATGATGAGCAAAGGGAAATAATTAAAAAGTTATTATATAAAATGTACATAAAATAAATGATGATGATGATGATCAGGAGAATCTCAAGAGATCAAATGAAATGAACCAAAAAGAAGAAAAAAAAAAATTTACAAATTCGAATCATCATTCGAAAGTTTCATTTCATTTCATTTTATCATCAGGGAAAAAAGTCAACTTTTCATATAACTAGGGCAAAACCGGGGTGGTGACGATACCAGTTTCAATTGGAACACACTAAACACACACAATACAGCAACGAATGAATAGGGATCAAACAAAAAAAAATTAGGAAAGCAAAGCAAAAAAAAAATACTAGACAGGAAATAGTCAAAATCTTTTTTTTTTTTACAGACAATTTTTTTTTGTTTGAAAAAAAACTTTTTTCAAAATAGAAAAAAAAATCACAATGGACGAAAAAAAAAGAATATGAAACATTTCATTTGACATTCATATATTCATGTATACCGTGTGAGGCTATATTTTCACAAGGAACTAAAAATCATTTTCTTCATCTAGGAATCGGAAATTTTTTTTCGGAATCTTTTTCAGAAAAAAAAACTTTTTTTTATGAGCCAAAAAAAAAAAAGTAGTGAAAAACAACAGGCCGGGTAAATTTTTTTTTCTATATTTCCAAGGACAAAAAAAGTTTTGTTTTTCTGTCATCTCTCTCTCTCTTTGCTTATTGTTTTGAAGTTTTTTGGTTCATCCACCACATCATCATAAAGAAATCAATGATCGAATGTGTGTGTGTGTGTGATGAATAGAAATAGCAAAACACCAATGATGCGAAACAAAACAACAACAAAAACAGAAAACAAAGTTGTTGTTGTAGTTGTTTTGTTTGACATGACTAAACTTTTAGGGAACCATTTTTATTGGTTGGTTCAATAGTTTATATTCGATATGAATGATGATGAATAGATTCTTCAGAAATAGATTTATTGGAAAAACTTAGAGCAGAGTAGTGAGCTCACAGAAAGAAAAGACGCAAACTTCTCTCTCTCTCTCTCTCTCTCTCTCTTCTATTACTATGCTATGGTATTATGAAATGGTTTTTCTGTAATAAAATTGTTAAAAATGATAATAAAAATGTTTTCGAAAAATTCGTGTCAAAAACAACAACAACAACGACAACTTACGTGTATCCGTCTGTATTAATGGTAATGTATCGGTTGATGGTGTTGGACAAAATACACCGGTTGGTGAACGTGTTGCATTCGTTGTCTGTGATTTACCATACATTGTGAATACACAAAGATAATGGCCATTCTCTGTCATTGGTAAATTATCGATGACAAGATTGAGCTATATTTTTTTGCAAAAAAAAAATTGAAAATTGAATGATTATGTTTTGTTTCATCACCAATTCACGCACACACAGACACACACATACCGTTCGTGTTGTTGTTCGTTGTATTTGAGCGGGATTTACATTTGAAATTGTTGTACATTTACCGCTTTTATATGAAAGCCAATATAACGGATCGGATGTTGCTTCGGCACAATCATTTCGAATGGAACATCTAAAATGAACGAAAGTTAGAAATTCAAACCACATATCTAAAGAGGAAATATTAAAACAAAAACATACTTATTTTCTAATGAACACCAACCACAATATGGATCACGTGCACCAAGACAGTCCATACAAGTACGATGTTGATGACATTCTTGTACTTTGACCATTGTCACTCGCCTGGTTGTCATGACATAAAGATAACCATGAGCCACGAACATATCCGGATTGATACGATGTCCTTGTTGTATGACGATATCGGCAAATTCATATGCTTTTATCGATACACGTGATTGATCCATATTAATCTGGTGACGTTGTCCTTCAATCACTACTTTTTTCAAATGTCCATCATTGGTACCCAAAAATGCGACTGAATAATCATTAGTTGCAGTTGCAGCCACTGATGTAAGTAGCACATTATCAAACATTATTGCTGGTTCGGTTTCAATTGGATTTGTTGTTCCTAATGGTTGATTGACATCCATACCACAAAAATCTTCTTTTATTTGTACTTGCTGTATTTTCCATTAGAAAAAAAAGAGAGAAAGAAAAATTCAAATTAGTGAAAATGAAAACCAAATGAAAAATTGGAATGAAAGCAAAGGATTGAGAAAATGGAAACAAATTGAATTAACAAACAAAGGAAAGAAAGAAAAAAAACCATTATGAAAATCATCCTATTGTAGAATGGATATCATGAAGAGAGAGAAAGAAAAATAGAAATAATCAAGTGGATTGATTCTCGAGAAGATTCTCTCTCTCTCTCTCCGTGTGTTAATGCATTCATTCTAGTTACAGTTGTTGTTGTTGTTGTTGTTGTCGTTGAAACTCTTTTTCTTTCTCTCTCAAAACGATATATATTGTTCCTGGAACAAAAAACGTGTTGTTGTTCATCTTAATATAAACAGTAGAGAGTGAAACACTTGAAAAATAATTGTAATAATTAACCCTTTGCTCTCTCTCTCTCACTTTTGCTGTCCGGGTATATTTTTTTATCCAAAAACAGTGAAAAATACAAAAGTCTGTACTTTCAAATGTAATGAGTCGGGTGATGTATGTTTGTTCGTTTTTAAATTGGTGAAAAACATACACCGATTACACACATAACATCCGAACATTTTTTTTTGGAAATTATACAGACAAATTATTATTATTGTTATGCGACAACAATAATAAAAAAACAAACAAACGTGGAACAATTGTGAATTGAATATTGAATGAGTGAGTGTGGGTGAACGAATGAAACAAAACGGAAAAAAAATTCTGGACCAATCATAAAGTGACATTATGATCGTGGTGAGGCTGGTTCAATGGGTAGCAAGAAAAAAAATTTATTGCATATTCAGCAAATGATTTTGTTTATAGAATATATAGAGTATAGAACGTACGATGGACATCAAAAGAAATGAAATGAAATGAAATAACCGAGAATAATAATTTTTCTGCTGACATCAATAAGAACAAGAAGAAAAAGAATTTATCCAGAAATTCTTGTGTGTGTGTGTGATGATTTTTTCTATTCACTCAATTCTTTTGTTTGCTATTTGCTTCTCTGCAAATCGCGTGTCATCAAGGATTATCGAGTGCTTTTTTCTTGCCCCAGCCGTTTTTATTTGCCTATTCTTAATCGACATTCTAAAAGAGTGTTCCGTACCAAAAAAGTAAAAAATTTTCATTTTGTTTGATTTCCAATGAAACAATGACGTAAAAAACCGTAATCGTATGAATGAAAATGGATGATGAGGATGATGATGTTTCCAAATATTTTCAAATATATAGAGAGACACGACGAGGGTATATTATTTTTGAGTATCTAATTCTGTACACAAACACACACACATATTGGACATTATCTTAGCGCTGGTCAATGGAAATGGCTGGCTGCTTTTATTGAAAACTTTTTGGTTTTCGATTTTTCGTTTTTGATGATTAAGACAAGGATGATGATGTTGATGATGATCACAAATCGAAATGTTAAAATTCTAATGATGATGATGACCAACGATATATATATATAGTCATAGTCATCATTGGGTAATAATAGTGAAATTCAATTGAGTAAGCAAAAAAAAAGGGAAAAGAAGATAGAACTTTCTCTCGGTGGCTTTATCGTCGTCGTTATATCGTGACAATAGCGCAATGAAAAACAAAGCAAAATTTTCTATCCAAATGATGATATTTAAAATAAGAATCCTGATGGAAAAAAAAGAAAGAAAAGAACAAAAATCCAATAATGTCATCAACGACAACATTCATTTTCATTTCATTCTTGATCATCATCATCATCATCGTCATCAAAACCATAATAATAAAATAAACAACAACAACGAAAAAAAACGCAAGAAGAACAAAAACAAAATAACAAAACAAAAAACAAAACAGAAAATTTGAAATCTTCGTCACACACACGATAATGGAAACATTTTTGGAGTCTGTATGATGATGATAATTCGTTTAATTATAAATCGATTTTTTTTTGTTTTGTTTCACACATTCTTATCATCATGAATGTATTGCTTTGAAAAAAGAAACAACAAAAATGATGTGAACAAGAGAATTCAATATAATTCAAGAATGGAATATTATAATCAATGTAAATGGATAGATAGATAGAACAAACGAAAAAATTTTAGGAAATTTTCCCGGAAATTTTTTTGCCCATAAATTTTTAGGATAAAAATTTTTAGGGAAATTTGGTTTTTTTAAACCACGCGCCGGCGGCTACTGCACTAGTTTAAACTGGAAAATATTAGGTATATGTGTGTGTGTGAGTGTGAAAATTTCTCTTTTACATAATATCCAGGTATGGGTGATTATTTCACATTCATTATGATCATCATCACCATAATTCACACACAATAAACAGACATAGACATTTACTAGACATATACCAATTCAAAAAGAAGTAGCATCAATGCAGACGATGTTCGAATTCGACCAGTCCATCATCAATGGTATAAATACCGACATTCGACAACATCAAACTGTGGTAATTTGGTGGTTTAATGACAGAAGAAAAATATACAGTTTTAAATTTAACGTGAAAAAAAACTTTTTGTTCACCTGTATCGGATTTCAATCATCTATTTTTTTCTGTTTCGAGAGAGGTAAGAAAATTTTGACAAATACCCAAGTTTTCATCAATCTAAACATATAATTTTCACCATCTTATTTGGTGATGTTATCTATTTTGAAAAGAAGAAATTTGAAACCACGAACGAAGATGAAGTTCAAACGAATTTTGGGTCGATTACGACATTCAATTCGTCGTCGTCGTCGCAATCATGGCTACTATAATGACGAAGATAATTGTCAATTACAAAATATATTTGAAAACGAACACTTACAAGATGGATTAATTTTTCCTAAAGAAGAAAAACAAAAAGTTCCACCGAAACCGAAGCCTATCATTACTGATGATAATGATAAAAAGGGTTTGCAAATTGTTCAATTGAAAGAACAACCACATCATTGTTATTATCGTCATTGTTCAGAAAATTATCGATTATTCATTCGTGATCGTTATTCAAATGAATCGTTTCTGATCAATGGTGGCTCAGATATCTCATTGTTTCCAAATGAGATTCAATTTTGGAATCATTATCGATCGAAAGAATTGAAAAAATGGCAAAAACAATGCAAAAAACAGTACGGCGTTCAAATCAATGGTGCCAATATGGTATTTGGCGAAAGCCTTATTGGCACTGGTGATGATTGCAAGAAACAAGAACAAATGAAAATCACTGGAAAATTTTTCATTGCATTGGATTTTGGTTTTGGCCATGAATTTGTTTTTGAATTTTATCTTTGTGAAACTGAGTACCCGGTGATTGGTGCAGATTTTCTTGCTCATTATCATCTACTGCCGGATTATCTTTGCCAACAATTGATTGATTTTGATTATCATCGTAAAGTTGATTGCCAACTATTTCCTACAGTAGTGGATCGACGTAATGTACGTAGTTTGGTGAACATTCGTCAACCACCAAGCGAAATATGAACGAAACACGAAAATTTTTCATCACAATCGCGTGGCCTTTGAAATTTGATATCGATCGATCGAATGATTTTTTTTCAATTTCAATTCAATTCATGTCAATTTTTATATTCTTGACCTCTAGTAGTTTGTAGTTACAATAATAAAAATCAAAATTCAAAATTTATGTGTCAAGATGATTTTTTAATAAAAAACAAATTCTTTTTGAAATATTTATGTTCACTCCATTCGAGTAGTCGTGTTTTCCCTGCACTAGAATAATGCGGAAATTAAATGAATTGTAAACAGAAGAAACGAACGAACGAACCAACCACCACCTCTTTCCTTCCTCGAGTTTGTTCTCGGTTTCTGAATATTGAGAATTGCTTTTTTTAGTTAGCTTTCTCTCGCTCTCTTTTTAAATCAAGAGGCTGACGATTGAATGAATAAAAATGAAATGAAGCCAACTGGAATAATTGTCAATTCGAGTGAAAAAATGCATAGAACCTGTATTGTTGTTGTTGCTGTATTGCGCCGATTAAAGAGAATTTGCCAGATACAACACAGACACACAGTGAAAAAACGATTCTTGAAACTTTTTCTTCTTCTTCCTCAAAGCTCTAGACAGTGATTCTGATCAAAGAAGAATAAATGAAATTATTGAAAAAAAAAAAAAAAAAAAAAAGTCTTCACGAGACGTGTTAAACGTAATAACGATGAATTTTCTTTCTTCGAATAATTTTTAGTCTCACTATTAATTTAATATTGATTGACATGCGAAAGTAGGCAAAAAAACGACAAACGCACGAACACATAAACACACACAAAAAAATGAGAATTCTAAATCAATTTCATGTGTTCATTTTGGTCTGAGTGTGTATCACAGCAAATAAAATAATAAAAAAAAAGTTTCAATGTAAAAAAGAAATTTGATCCAAAAACATAAGTTGAAGCTCCGTTTGTCAAATTCATATGTACAACAACAATAATTAATTAATTCAATTCACATATAACGTAATAAAATGGAATATATATATATATAAATAAGCGAAAACCTCGATTTTGGGATTTCAGGATTTCGGTTCGTTTTTTTTTATTCTGGTGAAGGACGGGCAAATAAAGCTAATAAATAATGAAACTGTTAATATGTATGAATGGGAATTGAATAGAAAAAAAACGTAGTAAAGTAAATACATTCTATCTACAATCCACCACAACCACTGCTAGATTGATTAAAAATAAACGAAATTGATCAATGTTGATCAATGATGATTGAGTGTATGGAATATTAACCAATTTCAATGTTTGATTATTTGTTTTTTTCTCAACATATAGAATTATGCTTGAATCAAAAACTCATTATTGATTCATATGTTTAATTTCTTCACTTTCATTCATTACGGTAGTAGTGCCGTTTATATATCATTGATTTTCAATGATCCATACTCAAAAACAAGAGTAAAAAATTTGGCTGATTTGATTTTCATTTGATACAAAAATCACAGTTGTTGTTGTTGTTGTTGTTGTTCTTAAATTGCAATTGATTTGACTATTTCGTTTGTGTGCGTTATGTAATATAATAATATGATCCTTGTCGAGCTGCAATGACAATCAATGGTCAATGTGGATCGTAGTTTTTATAATAATAACTGTGTTGTTAGTGTGTAACCGAATAAAAAAGAAATATAACACACACACACACACAGAAACAGAAAAAAGCAAGATTTGTTTTCGACTTTGAAATATAAAGAAAATGATTTTTCTTTCCTTTTTCTGTTTTCGCTCATTTTCGACATCGACATAATCATCATCATCATCATCATCGTGCCCGTGTATCGAATATAGAGATTATCGAATAAGTTTTCTATTCCCGTTTTTTTGGGTATTGAATTCATGTCTGTATTTGTTCTGTTTCGAGCAAAAGAGAGAGAGAGAGAGAGAGAGAAGAAAAAACGATCCAGACCCAAAACAGCAACAAACTTTGAATCAACATTTTTTCGGAAAACATGGAATCAACCAGAGAAATTTGAGCGAATAATATAAAGTGTGTGTGTATGTGTGTGCATGTGTGCACCAATTGGACAAATCAACACAACGAAAAAGAAAGAGAGAGAGAGAAACCTAATTATTAGCGAAACCAAAAAACGAAACAGAGAATGGGAAAATAAATATCACAAGGAAATGAATAAAAATAACAAATCCGAGACAGAGAAAAAAAAATCTCGAATAACAAATTAATCAATAATAACGATAATAATATTGAGCAGAATCGAAAATGGCAAAATCAAATCAAATTCGAATCATGGTCTGGTTCATGAATTTCGAAATGAAATGAAAGAATGATCCAAATGTGAATGTGTGCTATTTATTTTTTTTTGTTGCATTGCATTCATTAAACGATGCCGTTTGTTTTGTCAGGATCATGGAATCTTTTTTTTCTGTTTGTCTAATGAATATTCCATCATTCATTTCACTTAATGATGTTTTGAATGTTTCCAAAAAAAATCATCAATCGGATTGAAGAAACAAAAAAAAGAACGAATGTAATGATGATATAGCTTCAGGGCTATTCATATAGAATGGAAAAAAAATTTCACCCGGTTTTTTTATTCATTTAACAACACAAATCTAGACATCCACCAAAAAAAAATCATTCATTTCAATTCATTAATTCAACATTTCACAATAATAATCGATCACAGAAAAAAAACCACAGACAACAAAAAAAAATTGAGGCTAATCGACGAAACAAAAAAAAACCGAAAGAGCAAAGCTTCAAAAAAATCATTATCATTCAATTCAATTCAATTCGATTTGATTCGATTTTTCGTCATTTCATTCACATCATCATCATCATTTTCGCGGGTAAATGAAAAAGTTACGATCGGCCCGGAAAAAAAATTCGACGGATATATTGATTTGATTCACTAGAAATAACAGAACCGATCAGGAGAAAAAAAAACCATTCCATTCAAAAGCTCCAAGTTTACGAGAACATTTTCTGTTGGATCAAAAAAAAAACAGAATAAAAGAAAAAAAAAAAAATCAACAAAATTGTGACAAGTTTTTCTTTGGCGACGACCCCATTTGACAACCGAAACACATAAAAAAATCAATATCATAAATCCCATTCAAAGAGTCAAATCAAATAATAAAAAAAAGGTTTGAGTTTTCGGTGCTTGATCTTTTTTGATACTACACATACACTATCATCATCATCATTTTTTCAGGCTAATTTATTTGTTCTTGTCGTCGTTTATCGTCCATCACCCGTTTATTGTGTGCGTGGATGATGGAATGAAAACAATAACGAAAAAAAAACCGAATAATTGTTAATCAGAATGTTGAACAAATTGGCCGCATGCGTATAGAGAGAAATATAAAAAAAAGAAAGTTTTTTTTTCATCATTTATCGATTCGATCAAAAAGTGTGATTGACACGAATCGAATCGATAAATAGAAAAAAAAATTAAACCGGGTATTGTTTGATTTGTCGGAAACATTTTCTGTGTTTGTTTCTCGTTTTTTTTTCATGGTGAAAAAAAATTCACAAACACCGTGGTAATTTATCTCACATCGAATGAATATCTTGTTGCCTTTCTGTTGTTACACTTTTATTGGAAAAAACTATGGAAATAACTTGATTAGACTTTATTTTTTATTTTGATCAAGATTATTATTGTTATTATTAAGGAAGAGGATCTCTGTTTCCACCAAACGATCCAGGATCAACAACAACAACAGTGAAAACAATTTGGAAAAACAATTCTAAACACACACACACACGGAATTGAGGCAATGAACCAAACCGTATGTGATAAAAAAACTTTTGCACATGAAACACAATGAAAAGTCAATGTGTATTTGTCGACTAGAATACAAACGGCCATATTATTGTTATTTTGGTATTCGCAGTTGTTTTTTTTCAATTTTGAATATACCATTTGTTTGTGTGTCACAGCTGAACTGAACGATAGTAGTGGGGAGGTGGTATATATACACATTATTTCCATTGTTTTTCCACATAATATGGTTATTAAATTTAATTTAATTTTTCAAAAAAAAAATTATGATAATCAATCGAACCAAGGAGAAACAACACAAAAAAAATTATCATCCACAAAATTACGATTAATTGATTGATTATCAATTGATGAAAAGTGGATTTGGAAATCGAGATCTCGTCTCAAAACACTATCCAAAAAAAGATAAAATTTTCAATTTCAATAATAACAAAAGACTTGACTAATCAATCAAGAAGGATTATAAAATGATCATCATCATCATCAAAAGCTCAAAGAATGATAATTGATGAAAAAAAATTGAAAACATTTTTAACCATTCATAAGTGCGATTGATTCTTTTTTTTGTGGTCAACAAAATTTGTTTCTCTAACTCTGGAGAAAAAAAATGTATTCCATAATCATCAAAAATGTCCACAATTGTGTCACCATCTTCATATTGATGGCCATCATCGTTACGCAAGGTGAGTGTTGTAAATTGTTTTCAATTTAAAAATTATAAAAAAAAAATTTCATTTCATTTACAAAACACAGTACAACAAGCAAAAGCAGCCACCACAACAGCCGAAGAAGATAAAATAAAACAACAATATCTTGATGAGGCTGAAAAAATTGATGAAAAAGCAAGAAAATTGATTGAAAAATTTGAAAATAATAAAAATATCCAAAATCAAACTGATTTAGATGATCAAATATGGCGTTTGAAAACGGAAATAATTGAATTGGAAAAATCGATACGATTCATGAAAGAAACCGATATACGACAAACTGATCAATGGAATTTTTCAATCAAACAATTGAAAAAACATGAAACCAATGTCAACGATATGATTGAAATGCTACAACATCATTATAATTTGGCTTTTTCCCTATTATTGGATCGAAAATTATTAGCCATCACCATTGTAATAATCATTGTTTCATCAACATTTTTTTGATGAATTGACAAAATAAATAGCTCTTATTATAGAGAGAAAAAACAAAGATTACTCAAAAAAAAAAAAATTTTTTGACATTGGATTCCGGTTCATTAATGATTACTAATCAAATAAATAGATAAGGAAAGGTGTTTGATTGAAAAGAGATTGAGTGTGATTGTCGTTGCTTGCTAAGTATGATATTGAAATCGTATGCGTATGCGTATGCGTGTGTGTGTGTGTGTGAGTGTATGATCAATAAATCTGATAATCTCATCCATCAATAGTTGGTGAGATAAATAAATCACTACCACTCAAATAAAGGATCATTCTACTATTTGCAACCATACATTAAACATCATCAAAATCATAATTATTTTAAAAATTTGTGAGAAAAAATGATGAAAACAAATTTCATTTTGGTGGCCACCGCCATAATTATGGTCATTTCATTGGTTACAGTCAATGCTGCCAATGGTAAGTGTGTAAGAAAAAATTCTTGTTTTTTTCAAACTAAAATTTTTATTGTTTACCCAAATCAAAACCGAAACCCCTCAAAAAAAAGGAGAACAAAAAATGAAAGAAAGACAAAAAAAATTACTCGATGAAGCTAATGATATGGTGAAAAAAGCAAATGACTGTTGGAATGAAAAGGGTAAAGGCAAATTTGATGAAACAACATCAACATATAAAGAATATTATTTGCGAGTAATGGAAATTTCGAAATATGTTTACGATATTGAAAAAACAACTGATGACAAATATCTTGATATTTATGAGAAAGATATGCATAATGATGAGGATATATTACGTGGTCGAATGTCTGATTTAGGCTGTTCAACCGGTGGTGGTACTATTGCAATCAATCTCAACACAATGACCGCTATGATTGCCATTTGTATGATGATGGTAATGAATTTTGTATTTTAATTCTGAACAGAAATATCTTGAAACTTTAAAACTGAAAATTAAAATAAAATTTGAAAAATTTCCTTTATCTTTTATAATGTGATGACGTTGTTTAATTTCAAAAAAAAAAAAAAAATCGAATCAAACTCAGATTTATAATCAGAACTTGAATGTTGATGTTCTATTGATGTTATATCAGATTACATTTTTCATATTAATCTCCAAGCATCATAAAAAGAATATAATATAATATATACATCGATGAAAAATGAAAATCACAGCCATGATAATAATCCACATCAACGAAAAAAATGTGGAAAAAAATAGTGATTCACTTCACTTCATCCTCATTTTAATTAGCCAAAGAGATTTTCGAAAAAGATTGGATCCAAAACGAAAAAAAAATCCACAAATAATCATCTATTGGAACTATCAATCTCGATGTGATCGGTATCTAGTATCTAGTGTCACTATGACGACGACTATTATTACATACCAGAAATGAAAATGCTAATACTCGCTTTGTGTGTTTGTTAGTCTGGGTGCGTATAATAAAAAAAAAATGCAATATAGATCTTTATCCTAATAATAACCTGGGCTGCAATAATAATAATAAAGATGAAAGTTAATCTCTCTCCTTTTTTTTGTAATGAATGTCGTAGTCGTCCTAGTCGTTATTTGAAAAACTGGATAAGAAAGATTGAGAACCACAAATAGCAACAACAACAACAACAACAACAAAATGAACTGAAGAATCGAGAAATTGAATGTATTCCATATTTTTTTTCAATAAAATGGAACATGTGTTTTCTCTCTCGTGCACATTTGATGTAAAACTTTTAAATGTTTGAAACGTGTCGACTATAATACGTGTATATATGTGTAATGTTCATCAAACAGCAACTAGAAAATCGGATTTTCATTCATTCATATTTTCTTTTTGATTCTAGCTTATTGACACAAATGTGAATAATGAAAAACAAAACGAAAAAACATTGAAATTCCGAATTGAGAAAAAAACAGACATAGAATTTCAGTCACAATCACACACACACACACACATAATGCTTCTTCTATTTGGTTTTCAATTTCATCATCATCACCATACATAATATCCATGATGATGACAATGGGTTTTTTCTCATTTCCCATTTTTAACAACAACAACAGCAGCAGTAAAAATGACTTTTTTTTCTGTCATTGGAATTCATTTCCTGTATGAAAATAAAGCTCAAAGCTCAACAAACAAAAAACACAGACACAGCAGCAAAAGAAAAATATATTCTTCATTCTTCATTACATTTTCTTTCTCTCACAGCGTGTTGATAATGTTTATATTTCACAGTGAGAATATAAATAAATACCAATATCAGACACACACACACACACACACACACACACGACAGGATATTGTTATTCTACCTGATTTAATTCAATTTGAAATGTTATATTGTATTGTGATGTGATGGATGAGAATAAAATGGATGATGGTATTGTGTGTGTGTGTGTGTGCAACATAGCAAAAGAAAAAACCAACCAACTCACTCGCTCGAAATAAAACATTTTCATCCATCCAACTTTAGTTTTTTTTTAATAGTTACTAACACATAGTGGGGGTGTCAGATAGGTAGGTAAAAAGTTGTATTTTCATTTTAGTTCCAACAACAAATCGCTCTCCTGATTCCTGTTTGATTTTTTTTTTTTTTTTTTGGTAACATCAAGCCATGATAAAGCAAAAAAAAAAGTGCACAGCATTTTGTAATATTTATATAGGCATCTTGTAATGATAAATCAATGATACAACGTCCAAATAATTATTGTAAACAAGTGGAAAAATTTGAAAATGTAAAACTTGCACTAATAATTCAAAAACAACAACAACAATATTAATGCAAAGATCAATTTGTTGTTCATTCATGTAAATTCATCGTGTTGTTGTTGGATATGAAAGAATTTAATACCAAACGCACACACACACAAAAGCACGAGTGCATATCATCATATCATGTAAACCAGGCGTCGGCAACCTGCGGCCGCGCCTGCATCTTCCATAGAGCTCTATGGGAAATGCGGCCCGCGGGCCGCAGGTTGCCGACGCCTGATGTAAACCAATAAAAACCAAACAAATATATAGCGGGCAACATCAACCGAAAAAAATACATGATAATAAATCATTGAGTGAAGACAAGGACTGCTTAGTTTGTTCTGTGTTTTGAAATAATGAAAATCATGGCTTTTTTTGAAAAAACAGACAGAAAAAAGCACTATACTAGACGTTTGAAGATTATCATCATCATCATAATGATGAGAATAGGGATATCGATTGTAGTGTGACAGTTAATTTTCACTCATTCTTTTTCTCAAACAACAACAACGGCGACAACGAAAACAACAAAAGGTAATTGAAAAAAGAATCGATAGAATGGGAAAAAATCGTGAAAATTAATAAAAATTGAATTATTTTGAATGTGAAAATTATTTTAGCAAAATGTAGAAAAGAATTTCACAACTCACCGTAGGAACACATTTCTGCACGATGTTGATGAAATCCAATCCTTGCATTCCATTGCCATTGAAACAATGTTGGATATTTTTCGTAAATTGCCGATGAATGGTCGACAATGGATATACGCATAATGCAGAATGACTAGCAGGTCGTGGATCTTCCATGGTTTGTTCATCCACGGAACGTGCAAATACCACATATAAATGATCATCATCATATCGTACGCCCGTAATATTGGCCAATTTCAATGATGGCCGTCCAATGAATGCAGCTTGTGCCAGATTGAAATGTTTTTGTTGATGGCCTTGATGACGACATACCAGTGGTACTTCGGTATATGAATAATAATCCGGATCATTTTGACAAATACGCACTATTTGAGCAAATGAAGAAAAATAAAACAAATCAATGAATCAATCAGTTAACCATTACATTGATACATTACCTAATTTCGACATAAATGCCGATTGACCAGTATTACGTTTTTGAACGGTCAAAAAATAGCTAAAACCACGTGAATGAAATCCATAAATATATGTGATTGGATAACGATCACGTGCATATGCATTTATGATCAAACGGGTCCCGGTGCTAACACCAACCAATGCCAATTGGAATAAATCTATGAAAGAAAATAGAACAAAAAGAAAACGAATTAATAAATTGTGGATTTAGAAAACACAACATCACAAATGAACTCAATTGAAATTCAATTCAATCGAATCGAATTCAACTAGCTGGTTTTAGAGTATTTTTTTTAATGATGTCGCCGTTGATCCAATAATAATAGTGTTTTTTGAAACACAAACGAAAAAAAAACTAAAATAAAATTCAAGGATCATCATAATGATCGTAATAACGTTTTTTTTTGTTTGCAATATTTGGTAAAAAATAATAAAAGTTAGCAAAGACTTACTTGTTTCAAATAATGATCTGGAACTAACAACGGGTAAATCGGATCGATATGATCCGGCGGTATAAGTGGCACCAACATATAATACTTGTTTATGTGGATCTGGACCCGGAGCAATGAAAGCAACCGTCGATGCGGTGGCATTGTTCGCCACTACCGGTTCTTGTGGTTGATCAATGATACGCGAGATATTATATAAACTGTGAGCGGTACATGCACCTTGAAATAATGAACCACACGATATAAGCCATTGATGCATTTGATCCAAAACCAATGCTTTATTGTAATAATTTGATAAACGCTTCTGCACCTCTGGCGCACAACCTTTCGATATTGGACAATCATTCGAATCTTCATATGGACCCATTGTAATTTTTTCCAATAATTTCAAACGTAAATTTAATTGATAAATCGTATTCACACCACCGATATATACAAAACCAATTGTTTCATTGATAACCATATGTGAAAAATAAATTTCCGTATTCGGTTCTTCAAAATATGTATAATTTAAATCGATAGCCCTATTAATCGATGATGTCAAGCCATTATTATTACCACCACCAATCAATGATAGTGATTGGTGTTGTTGTTGTTGTTGCTGCTGCTGCTGAGATGATGATCTATCAGCACCAGCACCAGAACCGCCGAAAAGACCATAACGATCAAATAGGCCACGTTTAATAATTGTGTGATTATTATTATCATCATCCTGATGATGATGATGATGATGATTCAAACATTTATTGCCCATATCATTCCAATCGCCATTTTCATATGCCATAATCAACATTGTTGATGATGATGGAAATAATTGCTGAAATGATAATATCCAAATCATTGTAATCATCGTCATCGTTGTTGAACTTTTTGTTTGTTGACGACGATTAATGATTTCATCATTATGATGATGATGATGATGATGATATTTATTATTATTTTTCAATTCTGAGAATTGAAATTGCCGTTTTCGTTGATGATTTTGATGATCATGATGATGACTGGATTTATTATTTAACATTGATAAATAATATTGATATCGATATCGATGATCAAGATCAAATGATGTATGATGATGGCACCAGATGAAAATATTGACAATTTTCATTAATAAATAATTTAAATTATTATTAATGATGATCAAGTAATAATGAGAATAGGCATTGATAAAAACAACACATTTACAAAGGTAGAAAAATGTCGATAATGATGATGAAAAGGTGTTAATTAATGTTTTCATCATCATGATTATTATTATTATTGGGCACACTGTTATTGGTGAAATTGGCTTCATTTGCATAATCATTTTAAATGTTTGCAATGGCCAAAATAATAATTTCTTTATCGATCGATCTTTAATTTGATGATGATGATGATGATGATATGTTTGTTTCAATTGTTTATGATGATGATGAGGATTGTTCATAAATGACGTATTCGTTCTATTATTGATATCATCATGATGAATTTTTGGCCTTTTTTGTTGTTGTCGCCTATTATTTGTATTCATTTCATCATCATTAGTATTGAAATCACGATTAATTTGATCAAAATCTGAGTAATAATTGTTGTTTTTATAGTTGAAAATTTCGTCATTATGTTGGATTTGTATTTTTGGACTAGAATTTTGTCGCTGATATCTCTGTTGTAGTTGTTGTTGTTGTTGAAGATGATGAAAATTATCATCATCTTCTTCTGTTTCCGTATTCATCATCATTGTATTATTATTATGGCTTGTCGTTGTCGTCGTTTTCGATATCTGATGATGATGATCATCATCATCATCATATAATGATGATGGTCTTAATTTCATCGTTTTTGTTTTTTTTCTTTCTGGATCGATCCAAAAAAAAAAATAATTTATTCATTCATTTATTCATCTTCATTAAATGGATATTATTATTTCTATTTAGTTGGTTGGTTGATTCTTGTTGTTCTAGTAGTGGTCCAGAAAACGAAAGTTGGAGAAAAAAATATTTATTTATTATAACGATGATGATAATAATGTTTTCGTGGTTTTTTGTTGCCGCTTTTTTTTCTTCATTCAAGGATCGATATCATCATCATATCATAAAAATTTATTATGGTAACGACAATTTTCTCTTCACGGTTTAATAGCAAAAACGAACAAAACAAAAAAAAAAAATTGATTCCGTATTCGACCCCGTATAGTGAACGATCTCGAACAAACCAACAAAGATGAAACAAAAATATTTCCCGTGGCGAACGAAGAAAAAAAACCTACAAACAAACAAACAAAAGAAAAAAGAAAAGAATATGAAATTAGAATTCTGTTTCAAAGGAATTCTCAGGCAAAAGAAAATTTTTTTTCCTTACAAATAATGCAATTGAATCGAAATGAAATGAATGAATCTCATACATAACAAATACGCACACACACAAATGAATTATTCAATTTTCTTTTTACACACACACACACACAAGAAATGGAACCTCAAAAATTTTTGGTTGGTTGGTAGAAACAATTTTTTTTTTGCCATTGGAACCTGAGTGTGTGTATCATGAATGCAACAAACAACAACAACAACAGAAAAAAATGGATAGATTTGATTTATTTTATTCTCTTTGCTCTCTCGTCTCAACAATCAGAATCTGAACAACAATTCACACAAACGAGAAGAAAAAAAAACAAAAAATATCCAGAAATAAAGCAAAATGATACAAGATGGATGGATCATAAAATGAGAAAAAAAAGAAACGATGATGATGATGATGATGATGAAATTCAAAATCAAAATTCGTCTGATATTTATTTTCATTTCTCCATAAATACATGTGTGTGTGTGTGTGCGTTTTAGAGAGTCAAAAATTGAAAAAAAGGGCGAGTGTTATTTAAATTTTAAATTTCAAATTTTTTTTTATTTGTTTTTCGCTTGTTTGTCTGTTGTTACAGGAACAGGAAAAAATCATTGCAGATGTGTGCCAAAAAAAAATGCTGTCTGGCCGAATGAATTGAAGATGGAAACAAATTATTTTTTTGATTCCACACACACACATACACACACACACGTTTGAAGCATTGTGTGAAAATGAAAAAAAAACATTCTGTTTACACATCTCTCACTCACTGCCACCGAAAAAGAAAACATCAATAAATTCCGCATTGATTCTGAATTTATTGATATTTTTTTTTTTTCATTCTCTGAACAGAAAAAAATTCAGTTTCAAGTTTGATACATTGGAAATATTTTTATACAAGCATCAAGCTTCTTCATTTTCATATTCTCCAGCCATTTTTTTCATCGACAAAAAAAATGATGATGGTGATAATTTAAATGGAAAATTCATTGAAATGAAACACGAGAGAAAAAAAAATTTAAAATCATAGCCCGAAGAAGAATAATTTTGTTCAGCGATGAAAATTGCATATCTAGTTCTTCTTATTTTTCATTACACAGTGTGTGTGTGTGTTTTGAGAACATGAATTTTACACATGAAGCTTGAGAAAAAAAAATTTCTTAAACGAAAAAAAAAAAAAAACTCAAGAATTTTACTTTTGAACAACAACAACAACAATGATCCAGAAATGTTTCTCTGGAACACAAACACCAAGGCACACTCTTAGAAAAGCTGAAAAATGGAAACATTTACGGTTTTATGACTTTGAAACTAATATTAAAATTCGTGTGTGTACGATGCGATACGATACTTTCATCATCATCGGTAGTAGTATTACCGTTTTTAGAGAAAAAAGAAAAATTCCAGACAAGCAAAGCAAAGAAAGCAAGCATCATCATCTGTGTGTGTGTGTGTGTGTGTGTGTGTGTGTGTGTATGTATGACTATAGGGACATCAATTTTCATAAATTTTTTTCCTATTCTCATGATTCTCTCTTTCTCTATTTCGATTATATGGTGCCCCGTTAGAGCCATGGTTATAATATGGGCAACAGTACCAGCAGCACCACTTAGCAATGATGACTTTTTGCAAAGAATCTTTTGCTATTATGTCAGTGTGTGAATAGTTTATACATGGCGTCTTGGAAAAAAAATGATAGGATAGTATAGAAAATCTATAATAATAATTCAAGAAGTGGAAAAAAAAGAGAAAAAACATCAGAATAAAAAATGAACTAAACCTAAAACGAAAATGAACCAGAAAAAAAAAAAAAAAAATTCCAGTCCAAAAAATGTTCTAAAGAATTTCAAGACATAAACACAGTGATGGGATTGCATTTCTCATAATCATCCAAGAAACATTAGCGAATCGCACGAATATTCTGAATCAATCCAAATAGGTGAATTCTCTTTATTCGCAAGTAAAGTTGCATTTTCTTTTTTCCAAAAAATCTCCGAATCATTCGTTATGCATATACAGAGCATCATTATTATTAATTAGAAATTATTTTCATTATTATTCTAGCCAATTACTAAATCGGTCACACATAAGGAAAATGGTAGCAGCAACCCAGAAAATAAAATCTAAACGCATGGCTGTTTTTTTTGGAGGGGAAAAAATGTGAAGCCAATTAGAAACAAAATGGATCCAGAAGAAAAAGATTTCCATTTTTTATCATTTATATTAACATTTACTGCAATTATAATATCAAAAACTCCACTAATTGATTTTTCCTTTCCTTCTTCTTTTTTACCATTTGAAATTCAAGCCGCTTAATAATAAAAAAAACAAAACAAAACAAAAAAAATTCAATTCAAGCCTTTTCATTTTATTTCAATTCTGTGTCACACACACATACACACAAAATCATTATTAATATCGGCATCATCATCATTATATAATCGGATCCGAAACAAATTCCACGGAATAAAAAGAGCGAACAAAAACGATATTACAATGAATACAATGAGGCGTGTTGATGATGGTGGTGTTTCAATCGATTTTAATAAGTATAACGATCGATCAATCAATCAATCGATGTTCAATATCTACGTTCTAATAGATTTTTTTTCTCCATACACAGCTTTCGCCATTGTGTATAATATTGCTTCAAACATAGATGTCGCTATTGGTAATAGGCCATTATAATTATTTATTGAAAAAATTATTAATATTCAACAACTTGCATTTCCATCTCATCATCATCAATTTGATTTCGATTCAAATTCATTCATTGTCTGTATTGAAAAAAAAATTTGGGATCGCCATATTTCTCTTTCTCACAACCAATATGAATACATTATTACACTGTGGTGTTAGACATTCACATAACCATAACAATGATGATGATGATGATGAATAATAAAAAAAATCATACCGAGTTTTCTCAGGTGGTGAACCGAACATTTTTTTTTTTTTGTTCTTTCTATAGAAACCCGAGAACACCAATAATCATCATCATCATTATTGAGAATCAAATTTTTTTTTTTAATATTGATTCATCGTTTCGTTTCGAAAGAAAAATAATGATGAACTTATGTTTTTTTCCACTCACACACACACACACATATTTAAATCCGATATACAAAACTGTATAACGATTCAACGATAAAAAAAAGTAACAAAAAAAAATCTAAAATGTTAACGAAGCTTATTATTATTTTCGTTAGTTGCATCAAACATTTGTATCAAAAGTTGAAAAATCAGACTGAAATGGAAAAAAAATGTTCCATTTCCATTTCTACTCTCACTAGTTGTTGCCGATTTTTATCATCAATCGACGCCATTTCTCTTGACAACAGCAACAACAACAACAACAACAACATCTAATAAACTTATGGAACTTTGCATTATTTGTCGGTTGTGTCAAAAAAAAAAATCATGACAAAACATAAAACATCAAATGAAAAAAATGGAAAAAGTGAAAATTTCATTTCACACAAATGACAGCATTGAACAGAGTGTCATTTTCACACACACACACACACACACACATCTGCTTGTGTG